GACGTCGGCGTCCTTGTCGAGCAGCAGCTTCACAATCTGCTCGTGGCCTCGAAATGAAGCTGCCTGGAGTGCGTTGCCGTATCTTCCACCCTGCGTGTTGACGTTGGTACCTCGGTTTAAGAGGCAATTCACCGTCTGCAGTAAGCCCCCAAATGCAGCATAATACAAGGCCGGTGCTGGGTTCCCTTGGCCCTCATACGGTCCGTTGAATTGCAAATCTGGTCTATAAAGGCTGTAGCAGATTTCATATGAGCATTTCTGGTCACAGAAAAACTGCTCAATGAAATCTAGCACTGTATTGTCTGAATCCTTAGCCCTTACTGCATTTCTCATCCAGAATCTTGCTGAATATTGTGCGAATGGAAAGCACTTCACAATCTCATTTCGTGGAATTTTCTGGTTGAAGTGCAGGAGATACGCTAGACAAGTTTTTGCAATTGCTGCTCCAGCAGTAGACTCTTGAAAATCATGCGCGATATCGCTGTCCAGTCGAGTCGACATCAGATATTCTTTCACTGAGAAATGAGCCAACTGAAGCTCCACATGATTACCCCTGTTCGAATGCTCCGTGATAGAAACAACAGCCACTAAGCTTGAGCAATAACGCGAAATTTCTTGAGGATTAGGCATCCTGTACTTCGGATCAAAGTATGGTTTCCCCTTTGTGTCCACTGCTATTGCATCAACAGCCTCCTCGATCGTTAATGGTCGCTCTGAGAATGTAATAAGCTGAAGAATGATCGTGGCGTATTGCTTGTGCTCGGAAGGAATAGCTTGTAGAATTCTGCTGTAAGTTTCATCTAATGTTTTTGGGAGGGAGACAAGTGCCCTTTTGAGAGAGCGATACTCCAAGCAGTTTTCGAGCGCATCAATCTGGCATGTAACCCATCGAAACCTATTTGACCTTAGTGTACTATTCTAGGTAATAAGACTATAGCAAACTGAAACCCTACTCACATGCCGTTGGCCTTTTGGACAAGTGCGGCTTCAATCTCGTCCTGAACTTCAGGACGTTCTCGCCATCTCCTTAAACCATCACCCTCCCTTACCCTAGTGTGAATGTAGGCATAGATGTCATCACTGATAAGATTGCTCTGGAGGTGAATTCTATTCTCCTCGTGAACCAAGTCGTTCAACTTTGATTGAATGTCCTGCTCCGGCCGACTTGTCACAAGAAGGTGGACATTTCTTTGCCTTGAGCCTAGCAGGTCTCTTATCCATGAGAGCAATCCTTCAGTGTGTGACCCCATCCGCGTACAACACTCGTCAAGGGCATCTAAAACAACATATACGTCTTCTAAGGGATCTAGCATTTGGGAGAGAACCTGGCAAAGTGACTCGCATTTGGGTTGACGACGCCCACGTTCACAGGAGGAAAAGAGCGAATCCAATTGCTTCCGCGTATTCTCACACTTGGAGTACAGCTGGCCAATTAGGGATCGGACCATGTTTTCAAGTGTCTGCTTGTGGATATCGCTAAAGTCGAAATAGAAGTAGAGGAAAGTTGATCCGGGGGGCTTCTTATCCAAGTCTTCAATAATTGTGGAACTAAGGATTGTCTTGCCACATCCGGGTATGCCGTAAAGCCACAAGGAGGAATTCCGCTGTGTCTTCCATTGGAAGTACGCAGGAGTGCTTAGGAACCAGCAACCTGTGCCTTCCTGGCGTTGTTGTAATGCCTTGTTGTAATTTGTGGATGGATCTGATGGTGATAGCCAGCTTTCAATATTCCCTCGCTTCTGCTCGAATGATATGCCTTGTACAGCAGACCTTGCGTCTTGAACATCGCATCGCAATTTACTCATATCGTTCTTCACTTGTTGAATGTTAACTAATGATCACTACACTTAGCGAAGTGAACTAACCAGATAAAAGAAGGTCAGAGATCTTCTTCTCAGCCTCGACCTTGTTTGGAGCAATTCGGCAAAGAATATCCTTTGCATATGCAGCTGCTGCCATTGCTGCATATCCTTGCCACCTCTCATTCTTATGAGTGTCGGAATAGTCGCAAATGCCTCGAATAACTAGACAAGGGAACTGGTTCACTAATCCTGCCGCTTCTGTCTCAAAACATAGGACCCCCTTATCCTCTGCTAGTTTGTCCCGAAGCAAAGCGTTCTCCATTAATTGGTTCGCCGAGGCAATCAGACCGTAGTGGATTGCTGGATTATCTTCACCTTCGGCTCGTTCGTCTCGCGGCCTTAAGTCCGACTGGTGGTCTCCACAGACCACGGTGCAGTTTTTCTCATTGTCTGGAGGATGTTTGACGGTTGACTGGTATAGTCTATCGCTTTCTGGACTAGGCCGTTTATATTTCTTCAGTCTTGGTTTCTCTTCCAGAATTCTGTTAATAGCCTCGTCAATCTGATGACCGTCTAGCTCGTATTTTGCCTTGAGCCCACTCATGGCCGCCCGTAGGACCTTTGGTGGCTGGTTCAAGAACCTCGTTAGTTGGAAGCTCTGATCCTGGATATTTTTGCCGAAGTCGTATTGAATTACACCACCCTTCCCATTACAAGGAGCGCTGACCACGATATCACCCAGACGGATATCATGCTTGGGAGTTGGTGCGCCCCCACCAATGCCAACCATCAGCCCGATTCTAATATTGGGAAAGGTGTGGAGCATATCGCTTGCGACACCTGCTGCAGAGGAAATACCGTATTCACCGTTAGGTAGAACGGCGATAACGACATTGTGTTTCCCAACTCGACCAAGAGTGTAATCGTTCTCGTCATGAACGTGCACATGTTCCGGTCCGTCGTGCTTTTCGTCGAGGAAAGCTTGAGCTGCGACATATTCGGTAGTAATAGCGCAAATCCAGCCTACGGTATATGCCTCATTTTGTAGATTCTGCTGAGAACCTTCTATTAGGACACTCTTTGAAATCCCGATCTTTGATTTCTTCGATTCGGAATAGGCGAGCACTTCATCGTCGCTGGCAGCCCGTTTCTTAGACATGTTTCAAAGTCCTGCTATTGTGTACTAAGTAAGCATTTATGGGTACCGAAGCGCACACAAATGGCACGCATAGGAAGGACCATGAGGACGTTGTCTAAATGTGTCGTTACCTTTCTAACGATATTATGGTATATAGAGCGTGGCCTGACGTATAAGGCTGTCAGGTATGAAGGTGGAGGATTAACGTAGTTGAAGGGGGGATTAATAGTTGAACATTGTACAAATGGTCAAGTTTAGTAGATGAAAAGGTGCTCTAGCCCCCAAAAAGGACCTAACTGAAGAGATGGTTGAAGGAGTTGCAATTGATTCAGTTCGCACGAGCTGAAAGGCTGAAAGGCTGCTAGGCAGAAGTGCTTGGCTTCACCGCTGAACTAGTTGGTACAAATACGGAGTAAGAAACTTCCATAAGCGTACATATGTATCTTTTCATGTATTAAATAGTGAATATTGACTGAAAGTAAAGCAAAGCTGGTCTTGGGTCGCAAGGCTGTGGAGCTGATGGCTAGCTTGCTAAGATCGTGCACAGGTTTCGCGCAGCTAGTGACAAGCTTGGGCTTGCTGAACCAACGTAAATAAATTAGGTAACAATAACTATAATTACGCGAGACATGTAGAGTTGTTTTGCTCTACCAGGGGTAGCGATTGCTTCAGGCGTATGTACAGGTTAGTGCGGCGACCTTCCATGAATTTACGCACTATAGTAGACAAGAGGCCGATTACGACTTCTTAGTATCGTAGTAAAGTTCTGAGGTTTAGGCAAGAACCTTTTATAAGTACTAAGAGTGGTAAGAGCTTGACAGTGGGTGGTGCTGTGGGGAGGTAAACCTATCACGCCACGAAAAGAGGCTTTCTGTGAATTAGCCATGAAGGCGACAGTGTAAACGTAATTTATAGCTAAAAAAGGTCCTAAATGCTCAAATGTCACCATAGCGCACTACTAATGCAAAATTATAGGAAAATATCAACATGCGCGCAGAGTTATAGTTGCTTAAAAGCAAGGTACCCCGCCTATTTCCCGGTACAGTGGATTTTCAGCGACCTAGGGACGGATGTTAGACATTAAAATCTAGAGTAAAGGCTAACATGGTGTTCACTCATCCTAAATTTTTGGCAAGATGTTAAATGAGGGTTCCTTCACTATGATGCTGCGCGTATACAGTGCTGGATTCGAAAGGACACACATTCCTCTATACCCAAGCGTTTAGAAAACTTTGAGGGACGCAGCGTGTACCTTGAGCTACTATGCTATACGAAGTCATAGTACCAATGAATAAGCTCGGGGCCCTTACGTGTCGGCAAGGTGAACTTCACATAACAGTGAAGAATACATGACAATAGTAGTGTAAACGACCTCGCTCAACGTGAAGGGCCATACATTAAATTTAAAAGCTTGTTTGTTGCAAACTAATGTACATAGAGCGTGGGGAACGAGTGAAGCTGACGCGCGGTCGACAGAATGCTACAGTGCGCTCTTGATGGTGCAATGGAAGGGTGGAACTATTCATCCGACTCCCTGCGTCGGAAGCTTCGCAAGTCAGGTGACTGGGCTCCTGGTTCCACGTCCCTCCCTCTCCGCTCTCCGCCATATAAAACAGCGTTCGGGAAAAACTAGCTCGGCTAGGGACCCGGGGTGAGTCTTTTGTCCGTACCGGTACCTAATCCCCAACTCCAGTTCGGTCAGGACCTCACTAAGCCACAAGACACATCTGCCATGTGAAGTCAGTGAAGAACAAGTAAGGGAATCTGGAGCTTACTTGTTATTCCACCATTGGGTAGGCGACCGAGTTCCTGGCCCCGGGATACATCTACTGTTTGAAATCAGCGAAGAACAGAGCAAGGTAGAGAATCCAGGGCTTAACTACTGGACTGCCATTGGACCGGCCCCATAGATTGTCGAGTCACATTGGGGTGGCAATTGTCCATTCGGGTTCAGGTCGCCTGCCTGTAGCACATACATGCCCGGCTGGCGGACATGCATGGGCTCAGGGACTCGGCCGTCGACATGATTGGTGGGCAGAGAACCCTAAACTCTGCTTATTTTCGACCCAGAAATGAGCGTCCGACGCTAGTGGGTAGTTTCTGCACGCTAGCTAGCATCGATGCCTCATTGTGGTCGTCACCAGCGTCGCTCGAAGAAATGTTACAAAAAGGAAGACACTACCGCATAAAAACATCGTTCAGGGAATTTTTCTTCCCCATGGAAATGTGCGTCTGGCCATTTTTTGACCGGAGTTCCAAACATGAGTAAAAGGAAAGAAGGCAGGAACGAAGGAAGACGGGGTTATATTGGAAAAGGAGGAGTAAGAACTTACGGCTGGCTAAAAAGAATCCATCTGCGTCGACATCATGACCGAAAAGACCGGGCAGGGCGCTTGCTATATTTGAGTGGCGTGGTCTATGGGAGGCAGATTATGTTAGCAAATAGCTCGAAAATGAGTAGAGTGATATGTATGGATGGGTGGTGGGTCAGACAGGTAGTGATGGTTATCGTACATTGAGCCCCAAGGGAGTCCTGGTTCTCTGGTGCGAAGTATCTGGGGAGCCACAAAGTGGTCTCCGTCATCATCCCCAGAGGTGGGTAGCAGAGGGCTTCTTACCGTTGGAGAGTCGAAAAAAAGTCTCGTAGTGTTTGTGTGCCATCAAGACGGCGGCGGCGAATACGGCGAGTGCGGCAGAACACTAGACAGCTTAGGGGATGGGGAAGAGAGTTCGAGGAAGATAGGCAGGAATTGCTTGAGATGGAGCAGGGCCGTGGGAGAATGGGAAGATGAAGGTGTTGATGGAGTGGGTGGTGGAGGAAAGATGGAAGCAGTAGGGCAAGAAGGATTTAAAAGGTTGGGTCTTGGCGTTGCGGTCTGCCTGCTTTGCGAGGGACCTCCTTCACCACTAGCGGTCTTTGGGGGGCTGCACACGGTCAATAACTAACGGCAAAGGCTCAGGATGGTAGAAAGGAACGTGGATCACCTATTAATAGCCTAAGGAGGGTAGAAGATGCCTTGCACCGCACTGTAAGCTTGTTGATGGTGCTTGCCTTGATGCCGGTTTCTGTGTAGATGGAAGCAGGACCCCCTTTGTATCCGCAACGGCCACTACAGTAAACTCTCAACCAGGAACTTGCCTATACCCGTATCGAGCAGGCGAAGACGAGAGCCTCCATGAGCTTAAGGGGAAGTAGTAAGCTGATCCCCCCTTGCTCAGCAAATGCCCTGCCAATTAGTACATTCTCTTATTATGTCCGCATTCGTGTGAGCAGTCGCACACAAGAAAGCAGAGTTCCTCTAGGAACCCGTCCGCTCTATTCCATCCCTTAAAGCCCGACGCGACAACGACAACATAGCCCCCTCGATAGATCAAGAAGCTGTTAGTCGTAACAGATTGCTCGACCAGCCGACAAACTCCACTAGTACGTTAAGGATGACGACTTGATACTCAGTGAGTCCAAGGTAACACCAGCCGTCGATCGTTCAGCGCCATGTCGAAGACAGGGACCCTACACAGGTAAGCTTTTCCTCCAGTGGCTACCTTGATATAAGAGCGCGCTGACAGCCACCGCCCTCGCTTCTTCCCCTGCTAGCCCCACAGTAACAAAAAAAGGTTGATTGATTGGGAAAGAGAGAGCCGACTGGTCTGAGCGCGCCGTCCTCCAAGCTCTAGGGGTTCGTTAACAATACATGAATGATACTTAGTCGACCGCTGTAGGGATTCGGAGCGACAGGGAGGCTTCTACACAAGCAAGTATCCACCTAGTGTCCTACCTCAAGCTCTGTTATCATCGCACCACACAGAAAGCTGGCCAAACCAGATTCTTCGTCTTGGACTCTCGTGTAACCTCGGCGGCGCCTACGGAAAACTTTAGAGTATCAAGTAAGTCGAGCGGAATGACACTCAAGTCCGGACTCGAGCTTCGCTGGCCAACTCGAGTACGGCGACACGATACTCAACAAGGCCAGGGGATGTAATGAATGCCCTACACAACTTGCTTGATCGCAACCTTAGTTCCCGCCTCAATTCCACTGCTTTTAATAGCTGACAGGACAGAAGGATGCCATTCGCCATCGCCATCGCCATCGCCATTTTATTCCGCAGACATCCCTGATGGCGGTCGTAAGCATATTGGAAGAATTGGCAGATAATAGATGGCGGGGACTTCGTTTGCGGCGACACCGGCACCGCGCAAGCGTCTTCAAGAGACGCATGGAAGGCTTGGAAGTCCGAAGCTCTATACCGAAGCTCGTTATCATCTCCAACCCCAACCTTCGTGCTCGAAGAGCCAACCCTCCCGCGCCTTGGTCCCCTTCTCCTCTTCGCTATTTTGACGACTTCGAGAACACTCACAAGGGATTCCAGACATATTGGCATCGTGTGCTAACGGTGGCCACTACAGGACGGGCCTAGTTCCTTACCTTCAATATCGGTGTGACCGACGTCTCTGTGACGATGAGACATGGTTGGAAAGTCGAAGAGCCCTATACAGATAGGCCTGATATCAACACCAGCCTTTAATACTCATATTCGTATAGTATTCTTCAACACCCTCAGGTTCCTTCGTACCCCTTTTTGATTTCAACTAGCAACATCAGCCCTAAGGGGCACGAGGGGGTATCTGGCTCCCGCGGTTGCTATCAGCCTTGCAGAAAACTGGCCATGTCCAATCTCCTTGAAGGATTTCTGAGCGTGAAGATCGCCTAGGGAAGGGGGCAAGGATCCAACAGCATTCCCATTAATTCGGAAACCCACGTAGGAGACTCTGAGAGATGCCTGGCTTACTACGGCTCGGAAATATGGTGGATTCTGGTGGATTGTGTCTTGACATGTTTCTGTTAAAAGGAACCTAGAAAAAGGGAGCAAGGATTCGACATCTTCCCCACTAGACCGAAACCCCAACTTAGAGGCTCCCGCAATCATTTGGCTCCAAAAGACCCCATGTCGAAGGCACTCCAGGTCCAATATTAGCTAAAATATTCAAGAATCTCCCCTACAGCTTAGTAAACCGTGTACCACCAGCACACGCATCAAAACAGACCTAACAGTATTAAAATAAAAAAAACTTTTATCTAGATCGTTATGTCGTCATATCATAAGCATACTTGCCAGCAGGAATCCCTCTCCACCCCTACGCTGATCCAGCCGCCTTCACAATCTCCGCGACCTTGCGGGCCAGGTCGTCAGCTTCGGCCCTTGTGGCAGCCTCCGCATAGACGCGGACGGCGTCCTCGGTGCCGCTAGCCCGCGCGAAGGACCGGCCTTGGCGGACCTTTTGCACCTCCGCATCGATCTGCTTCTGGATGCCGTCTGGTTTTACAAGCTTTCGCTCGGCATCCGTAGTTTTGAACTGGTTGCGGTCCGAGACCACAACTTTCAGGAGCCTGTTCGGGAGGTCGTTGTAGGTCGCCAGCCATTCCTGCGGACCCCAGTTCTTGTGTGCTAGCACCACTTCCACTAGCAGCATGTCCGAAAGGGCGTCACCAACTGACTGGTTGATGAGGTCTATGCAGGCTTTGAGGACGTCTAGACTCTCCTTTTGAGCCGGTGAGCGAGGTTCGTGTTTCGCGATGGCCTCTAGTGTAGCGGCGGAGAAGATGACAGTTCCATGTCCATTTGCTTCAAAATAGACACCAATGTCAAGTTTTGCGGCTGCGTGGTGCAGATGTTTGACGCCGGTGGGTGTGCAATCGACAGTCAACTTCAAATTCTGCTCGACGTAATTAGTAGCGGCGCCGTTAGCATAGGCCGTCTGGACGACCCCGAGCTTGAGGATGTCTGAGAGGCCGGAGTGGCGGACGAGGTCTCCAAGGAAGGATGCTACAAGGGTGGCAATCCGGTCGCCATCGAGAAGGTGGAACATGTTGTTCGAGTCTTTGAAGTAGTATACGAGCCGATCGGCGTCGCCGTCTAGCGAACAGCAACGGTCATTTGGTCCGGATTTGGAGGATGGAGGAGCTCTCTGGTTCGTTTTGACGAAATCGGCGCCGCACTGGATGAAGAGATTTAGTATGATGCTAACAAACTGTGTGCAAAAGGACTTCTGTTTCTATCCCCTTACCTCGACATTCAGACTCTCGGGCTTGATAACGTTGTCATTAACTACGAAGATTTCCAGTCCCTGATCTTTCGGTGGAAGATACTTAACAAGCTCTGTCAACTTTGGTCCACCAACACCATTGGCACAGTCGACTGTCAAGCTTCCGGATATCTTCTTCCCCCCCAGCGCCCTTTTAAATGCTTCGGAGAACTTCTCATAGTAGCCCGGTTCGGTTGGGGTGCCGTATGCGTCAGAGGTGTCTTGAGTATTGAGGCATCGTACCATATAATGGAGCTGAGGGGTTGTCAAAAAGCCGTAGTCCTTGGGCTCGGCACCAGCAGCCTTGACACCATCAAGGACACACGACAGGAGCCGGGCCCCTGATGCCCTGGTATCCCTTCCGATTACGACATGTGCTGGAGTGCTCAGTTTGATATTGAACCTCTCGGCAATTTCTCGATAGAAGGCGGAGACATCCTCAGGGGTTGCCTTGTTCGCCATCTCCGTACTGAGGACCTCCCACTCCTCCTGCAGAAGAGGGTTAGATTCCAACGAGGGGTGATAGACGGAATGGGGCTACATCGCCCCGTGCAAATAAAACTCACCGCTAACATATTTCCAAGCGGTTCGACGAGCTTCACACCGTTGTCTTCGGGCGGGTTGTGGGACGCGGTGATCATGACTCCAATGGATTTACCGCCGAGCGCGCGAGAGCGGAGGGCTGCTATGAGTCCGCATCGAGCCATCACGGAGTCGAGCACCTCGCTATGGCTGTCAGCAATGCTCCGAGAGAGGGCGTGTGGATATAGGCGGGGGTGGGGGTCCAAGGCAGGCTGGGGGCTGGGGGCTCCGGGACTCTTACGCTTTCGTACGGAACTGTTGGCGACATTAACGGACTACTGGTCAACACGAGAGGGGGATGGTACTTACGCCTGCAGTACCATATGCGTAGACGATACCCTCAGGAGCAGGGTGCTTCTTGGCAACTTCAGCGATCGGGTCGGCCATTGCGGGGGTCGGGTCGGGCTCGCGTTGTTGGTATTTGGCAATTGAGAGGAGTGAGAATCGACTGCCGGTGGCTGGGAAACGATTGTTGACGAGGAATCTTTTCGTAGGAAAGAAGATGGAGGTTTGAGGAATGAAGAGAGAAGTCTGGGGGAGAAGAAAGGCCAGCTTGTGGTGGGGAAGAGGTTCTTTTGTGTAAGCTGCAAGTGGCAGAGCCTCAGCACCCCTCCTTCAGGCACGGGCTAAAGTTAGCGGTTGACCTGTCAGCAACGAAGGAATGAGAATCCCACGCCTTGCCTCTTGCGTTGACGCCACTGTCTGACGTACCTGCTCAGCTCTTTTCCTCGAGCTAAACAAAAACAATATGCGGTGAAGATTGTGAGCCGATATATGTAAGAAAATCAGCTCAGCTCAGCCTTTTACCCCTGGCAGATTCTTCCCATCCTCCCATGTGGACATACATCCTGACCGCCTCCCTTCGCAGCATCCCTTACGGGCAGGAGGCGAGTTGTTGATTCCCCTCTGATCCACCGAAACCTGGCTTAACATCTAATTCATTGTGGAGTAACCTTCCGCTAATACCTCTTTGGGAGCTCCTCAACCCCAGCTGATGGCAATTGAGTTCTGAGCGCTGGCTGATTTGACGAATAGCTTGCTGCCCAGAGAAGAACAGTTCCCCCATTTAGGCCGGTGATGCAATAACAGCCTCTAGGCTCGCCATTAAGGACGTTCAACCCTTTCGCTGAAGCTTCCCTTTCCTCTCGCTAGCATGGCTCAGAGAGAACAAAGGGCGGGCAAGCACAACATGTTATCATAAAACATGGAACATGAATAGGGTAAAGTCTAATTAGCTCTTATATCTTAGAAAATTCGAGACTATTTACAGGATGCAAATTTTGGTCCTGAATACCTTCGTGATAAATGCAAATGACAACACCGTCCACAACACCAAAGGCTTCCAAGATCTTCCAAGGTTTCCTTTGATGGGCACAGACCCACACCCCGCACTCAGCATTCGAGACATTTCAGCGCTTACGAGGAGTTAAGCCATCACCAAGGAAGCGCTTAGGTAATAACATACTAGTGCCCTCTAGGCTAGAGCCGGGCGTAATAAAGACATCATCATCATCATCACATTTCAGCGCTCCTCTGTCCCATACCCCAAACGACTGAATCTCCTGCTTTTGTTTGCACGTTTGTTCGTCATTTCGCAATCATGATATCACAGTACCGCTCTTCCTCTCTTGGTATTTCCACCCCCAAATGGTTCTCTAGTATTGCGATACCGGACTGTGGATGTGTTGGGAGTGCTCTGGAATATGGGATGGACAGGTTAGGCAGTTGTGTGCTATGCCCCCCATAAGGGGGGAGAAATAGGAGGAAGTAGGACTGAATCCATTGATTGCATGTAGGTGTAGGTGAAAGTAGAGGTTTAATTACGGAATCACTCTAAGGTCTACCATGTAGGCTGTCTCGTGTGAGAGTGAATGCTAAATGCTAAATGCTAAGCTAGATATAATGTATCAATGCTCTCTTCCACGCTCGCTCATTTCCCGTGCAGTCAGCCAGGGGTTTTACAAGTCATTAGTTGGCAATCGGGATGCTTTTAACGATACCAATCTAGCTTGCCTTGCTGTTGATCTTCTTATAGACACATTCTCTGTGCTCGATATTTGAGCATCTTTTTAGGATGCGTAGCTATTTTGAGGCCACGTACCTGCGCGAATGCTAGCAGCGTGTCATATTCCCAGATTTACCTATTTGTACACACGCTCATAAGTGCCAACATCCCGTCGATTTAGAAAAAGAAATGGGGGTACATTCCTTCACAAATTCCACAGTGCGTACGCCTCTCTTGAATACACACATATACACATTCATACATAGTATCATACACCGTTCCCTCCCTCAACCCTCAAAACCCCGATAAATCACACCCACACCCACACCCACCTTAAAAACCCTCCAACCCCTCACCTTGTCCACCCATAATTCCACCCGTCCCTCGCCGGAAAATCCGTCTGCAGCCTTGCATACTCAATCGGCACGCCCCACTTTCCCCCCTCACCCTGACCCTCTACGCCCCTCAATACCCCCTCTGGTCGTCCATCCCCTCCTCCCCCAAGCCCAAACCGCTTAACCATTGCTGCACGATACAACCTCCCAACCTCCTTCCCTCTTGGTCCCAACCGTCCCGTTTCCGCGCCCTTACCACCAGCTTCCTCCGCCGTCACTGTGTTTCCGGATTCATCGAGCAGTCGGAGAGCCTCGCATGCTGCCCGCATCGACATGTACTGTCGTTCGAGTTCGAGTTCCTGCGCACGGCGTGTTTTTCGGAGGTAGAGGAGCCAGGCGCGATGGATGGTCCAGTGGCGGAGGAAGCGGAGGCGGGAGAAGCGTAGCGGGCGCGGGGTTAGGGGGTGGAAGAGGTGGTAGCGGATTTGTGCTGTTGGGGGAAGGTTGGGTTAGCGGGAGTTGATTCGTAGGCGATTTGATATTCAAGAAGACTGGGATTGGGAGTGGTGAGGTGATGTGAGAAAGGAGATGGTATGGGTTGCATTTGAAGTCACCACCAAAATATCCCAGAAAAAAACATACTTATCCGAGGATCAGTAGCATTCTTCCCTCCCTTCTTCCTCTTCTCCAACTTTGGTGTTGAAGAAAATGGCGCTATCCTTCCTCCTGAACTCGGCGGTTTTGTTATTGTCTGTGCAGACGCATTTTGCAGGGCTTTCGGGTGTCGAAAAGCCGAGGGTTTTATGGTTTGAAATGTCGATCGGAGTATAGAGAGATTCATTTTTGGATCGAAGTTATGCGGGGAGGGCAATTAGTGTTGCGGTTGCTCAAATTGAAGATTTCCAGATCGCCAAGACACATGCATGGGTGACAGGGTTGCGATGAGACTCACGTGGGCTGTTAGTCAGCATCCGACACGGACACTTCTCCCATTCACGGCTTAAGCAGAACGCTGAAAATTACATACAGAGTGGAGCAAGACAAAAGCCGCATTCTGTGCTGCTTGCAAAAGTTGTCTGATAGTATTAACTCTCAACGTACGCACAAGCCATGCATTCAATCCAGCCACCATACCTCTCATGCCTCCAATCCCCCTTCCCATCCAACCACTAAAAGCGTGAGGAAAAAAAAAAATTACAGATAGTAATGAGCGTAAGATGACAATCATCATCATCATCATCATTAGTTGCAGTTCGCAGCCTTCCATGCCCCAAAGAGCTCAATTCCCTCCACAATATGTCCATTAGAACTTAAAATCCCAATCCATGTTCATCAAACCATGCTCATCCATCACATCCCCTAAAGACTGCTTTTCTCCCAACTCGAACACGAAGAGAAGAATGAAATGATGGAAGGGAAAGATGCAGTGACGGTCAGGTAGGAAGAAGTAGCCCGCTTAGCAACGCCAGCACAGCAAAGCAGTCCAGGATAACAATTGCCCATGAAAACACCGCCCAATGCAGACTGTAATGAATAGAGAGACGCTTCACAAGATAACGCAGCAGCCGCCCGATTCACTTTTGTCGACGGAGAGAAGTGCAGCGCGGGTGGCGGCCTCGAATACGTCGTCGACACCATCGCCAGTTAGGGAAGAACACTCGAGATACTTCCGTGCGCCAATAATTTCCTTCATGTCGCTTCCGGCCTTGGTCGTCGTGAATTTAAGGGACTTCTTTCGCATTTCCTCCTGTGCAAGCGGGTCATCGCGAAGATCCTTCTTCAGGCCGACGAGGATGATGGGGACACCGGGACATCGTTCTCGTGCCTCCTCGGCCCACTTGTGCTTAACGTTTTCTAGAGAGTCTGGGGAGTCGACAGAGAAGCCGATTAGGATGACATGAGCTTTAGAATACGCCAGCGGCCGTAACCGTTCGTAGTCTTCCTGGCCAGCCGTATCCCATAACGCTAGTTGCACTGATTTGCCGTCCACTCTGCAGTCCGTGACGTAATTCTCGAAAACGGTGGGTACGTAGCGCTACCAGCTAGTTAGAATACGAGATCTGCCGCAGCTTGTGCGGCATTTTCGGGGGAGGGGCGTACAGTTGGGAAGTATCCCAAAGTGAAAACACTCAGGAGAGAAGTCTTTCCGCAAGCTCCGTCGCCAATAATGACCAGCTTCCTGTTATTGGGCTGATCAGCATGGTTCCATAGGTTCCCTTGTTAGTTTTTGTTTCACATCTTCGGGATGAGAGTCAAACGGGGCTAGCGAAATAACAGCAAGCTTCGAGCGAAAGGGTACAAATGGCGACTTTTACAGAGAGCAGGTTGGACGAAATGGGAATATGGAGCCAAAGTGAATCCGAAACGATAAAAAGTGGGCATGGGAGCCATGTACCAACGCCTATTTTTAGCAAGGATGACTTTCGGATCGGGAACACCAATGCAGGTTTTGCGCAAGGCCAGGGTTTCTTGACAGTTGCAAATATTGGTGCGTACGATCTTTTCGGGAAATGGAACATGCGACTTAAAGCAGAAAAGTAGAGCTAAGGAATGTAGAGAAGAATGAGGGGAGGTGCAGGAATTGAGGGATCATGACGTGTATGTAGGGAAGGAGCTTGGAGAGGAAGCCATGATGGGCAATCGCGAAGCTCCGTATCAGGGTGGTGAAACTGATATCAGATGATGAAATTATAGCGACGTACCTTCGCATCACGGGCTCGCCGTTCTGTGCCATGATGCAGCAGACTGGGAAGAGGGCTCAGGCTGTGGCTGCGACAGTTGTGGGGTGCAGAGGACGGGGAGGATTGTCGGAGAAGTCTGCAGGCGGCGTCGTGAGCTTCAGTATTGCGCTTCCTGTGCAAATGAATGCGCTTTGGAAGAATATGCGTGCCTGCAGATAGCAATTGCCGTTCTGGAGGGGGAAGGCTACAGTGATGGATCAATGTCAACAAGCGGAGCTGGAGGGCAATAGCTGGCGGGGCGGCGGCGGAGAAGGAGGAGGAGTGTCGCGGAGGGAGGGAGCGTCGTGGGAAGAGTCAACTAGCACAATGCAGTGGGCTGGAGCCCAGAACACCGTCGCAGCGAGAATGAGACCTGGGAGGGCGGCGAAGGTTCGTGACGACGGGCGGAGCGGCGACGGGGTGAATGTCACAGCTGTTGCGGGCGCAATGGGCAGGCAGAGACAGCGAGCGAGGAGCACAGAGGACGCACACGGGTGGTGGCAGTGGGCAGCCGAAGAAATGGGGTGTGAGGAAGGTCGTGTCTCGGGGGCGTGGGTGTTAAGAGGGTTTGAGAGCGTCTTGAAGTATGCGGCCTGGGTACTGCACTGCGCCTTCCTCGGCAAATTCCGCGGTCCTACAGGCTAGCACTTGATGCCGCCAACCTTCATCACTGTCAACATTCAGACCCTCCACCCACCACGCGGCCGTTCACTCCCACCGCCCGATCGAGCGCCCGACCCCCGTCTTGACTGACTCCCGCAGTCTGAGCCCCCGGACCGCGCGGGAGATTGCTTCCTTTTTTCCTTCACAGTACGTTGCAGACACTGGAGGGGTCTCATACCTTCACTTTTGGCCGCCCGGCCAGTCTTGCCCTGCTCCCCGCTACATAAACACGGCCGCGGCTCCGGCCCTCTGCAAACCTGCCTTCTGACGTTGCCCTCCAGCACCACCCTCGGTCCCACCACTTCGGTCCCATGGCGTCAGGCACAAAAGGCCCGGCCGCATCGATGGCACCCCTCAACGGCGTCTCGGGGTCACATCCTCCCGCTCCTGCACCTGTGAACCGCAAGAAACAGAAGCGACGAGAGAAGCAGGCCGCGAAGCAGGCCGCCGAGCAGCAGAAGCACACGCCAGCCCCCGCGAAAAACGGACACCCCCCACAAGGCCAGAGCTCCGCAGGCCATGCCCAACGCCTGTCCGGGCAACCCGCACCGCTGTATGCAGGCGCCGGCCTAGACGACCCTGATAGCTTTGAGCCTCCCGAGGGCGAGTACTACTCGGACGACGAGCTGTACGGGACGAATGGGCATTACCCGACTGGCTATACCGGACCTCCGCCCGCCACTGGTACTGGGAAGAAGTCCAAAAAGAAAACCAAGGCCGGCTCTGCAACCCAGCAACCTGCGTACCCCTCCGCCCCCCCTCCGCATCATCCTCCTTCCCACCCCCCGCCGCCGCATACGACTCTAGACGCTCCCCGCAAGTCCCATTCCAAAGACCGCATATGGAATACGTCAACATCGGAGGAACGGGAGCGGATCAAGGAATTCTGGCTGTCTCTAGGAGAAGACGAGCGCAAGTCGCTGGTCAAAATAGAAAAGGAAGCCGTCCTGCGCAAGATGAAGGAGCAGCAGAAGCATTCCTGTAGTTGCACTGTCTGCGGACGCAAGCGCACTGCTATTGAGGAAGAGCTGGAAGTCTTGTATGATGCATACTATGAGGAATTGGAACAGTATGCGAACCATCAGCAGGACGGCGGGCCCATTCTACCTGCGAGCCGCTATGCGCAAGCGCTGTCTAGTATGCCTCATGGCCGCCCTATGATGACCACACACCCCCCGTCGAGGATTCGTGAGCTAACCGAGTCTGAAGACGACGAGGAGGAGGAGGAAGGCGAAGAAGAGGAATATAGTGAGGATGACGATGAAGACTACATTAGCGAAGACGAACCCATTGACTTACCACGTGGATCAGCGGCAGACTTTTTCAATTTTGGCAACAGCTTGACGGTCAAAGGTAACACATTCTCCTATCACGAGTAAAGATGAAAGCTAAGTGAATTCTACAGGCGGAATACTGACAGTGGCCGACGACTTACTCAAGAACGATGGCAAGAAATTCATCGAGATGATGGAACAGCTTGCCGAGCGTCGAATGCAGCGAGAGGAAGAGGCTCAATATGCCTCCCATCCTAGCATGTACTCGAAATCTCATAGCTCACATAATCACAATGCTCCGCCCGAAGAAGATGACTTTGATGAAGAGGAAGAGGATGAGGAAGAAGGGTACGATGATGGAGACTACGAAGATGATGAAGATGAGGAGGTTTGTTTAATTTAAGTTTCATCGGTCTATAAAGCTAATGGCTACTAGGACACTATGACAGAGGAACAGCGCATGGAGGAAGGCAGGCGGATGTTTCAGATATTTGCGGCACGAATGTTTGAACAACGGGTGCTCACTGCATATAGAGAAAAGGTTGCCCGGGAACGCCAGCAGAGGCTCCTCGAGGAACTAGCAGAAGACGATCAGAAAAAAGAACAGAAAGAGGCGAAGAGGGCCAAAGAGGCACAGAAGAAAAAGGAAAAGAAGGAGAAACAACGGTTGGCCAAGGCGGAGGAGAAGGCACGGAAGGATGCGGAGAAGGCCGCCCAAGAAGCCGAGGCCAAGGCTGCGGAGGAGAAGCGATTGGAGGAACAGCGGAAGAAACGTGAGGAGCAACGAAAGAAAAAGGAGGCAGAGCGCAAAGCCCAGGAGGAAGAGAAACAGCGGAAGGAAGCCGAACGCCTCAAGCGACAGCAAGAAGAGCGTGAACGGCAGCAGGAGATAGAGAGGAAGGCTCGCGAGCATAAAGCTCAGGAAAAGAAGGCTAGGGACGACGCGAAGCGGAAAGAGCGTGAAGAACGCGAGGCAAAGGAAAAGGAGGCTCGAGAGAAGAAAGCGCAAGAAGAAAAAGAGCGACGAGAACGTGAGGCCAAAGCAAAGGCGGAAAGGGAACGCATTCGAAAAGAAGAGCAAGCAGCCTCTGCGGCTCAGAATGCGGCACCATCCCTCAAGAAGTCATCGCAGCCAGTTGCTGTGGCACTGCCTCCGGGTCTGTTGAAGCAATCTTCGTCCACAGGCATGCCATCGCCTCATATTATGCCCGCTATTCCGAAGGCGCCTACTCCTAACCGTCCCCGACAGAGTTCACAGCAAGGATCACATGGATCCTCACCCAAGACCCCTCAAGTTGCTCCTGGAACCAGCAAATCTATGTCGCCTGCATCGCAGATTCAGAATACCATTGTACCCAAGCAGATCTTAACAAAGCCCCCGACATCGCAGCAACCCCCACCTGTTCACCATACCCAGCCTACTTCTCCGATGCCTCCAATGGGGCCACCTCCCGGTATGCAGCCACCAGCTGGAATGGGTCTCAGCAACATGCCACCAGGCCTCAATGGATTCCCTCATGGTCAAGGTCCAATGATACCAGGTATGGGTCCGCGTCACTCTGTAAACAACATGCCTTTCTACCCGCAACCACCTGGACCGCAGAACTTCCGTCCATTTCTTCCCCCTGGTATGCACGCTCCAAATGCAATGCCGATGGGTCGTGGGTTCTCCATGGATGGACCACCTGGTCTCGGTCCCTCGATACCTGGTATTGGAGGACCAAATCAAATGCCTGGATTTGGTATGGGAATGCCATCGCACTCTCGACAAGCCTCAGCTTCGTTTGACAAGCCAAATGTTGAACCGCCAATCACCGCCCCTCAAGCCCAACCGATTGCGCGACCTGCTGGGCCCATCCAGCGACCATCGAGCGTCAAGCCTCACGAAGAAAACAAGCAACCGCATGACCTAGACGTCGATAATCTTGCAAGTCATCTTGGCAGCAAAGCGCTGCTTGATGATGCGGACGATATGCCCGATTTCCCAAGCGAGCCTCGTCGAACGAGCTTGCAGCCACATGGATCCTTGCGGGGCGGCGGCCCGCTGGGATTCGGCTTTTCGGATGCCCCAGGCCAGCCTCGAGCAGATTCGTACGCTCCATTCGGTAGCTCCAGCAACACTGGAAGCGTGTGGTCGACACCACCTATGCCATTCCCGATGACGGGTGCGCCTGGTTGGGGTAACTCTCCAACCACCAGTATGTTCAACAACCCATTCCCCCACCCTACGCCCGGCATTCAACGACCAAACGAACCTCGCATAACCTGGATCCGCCGATTGATCTGTGACGCATGCAAAATTGAATCAACTATCAAGCCCGGGTTGAATGGCTTCGTCAACGTATCTGACGTCTATCGTCATATTGAAACGGTGCCCAACCAATCACAGGAACCTATCTCGCAACAAGAGCTCAAGACTGCATGTGAGGTCTATGGTGACGCAGCCAACGGGGGGGGTCAGTTGACATACAAGGACGACACGGCTGGCTCTGGGCAAGCTACAATAAAGTTTGAGGAGATGGGCGGTCCGTCTGCAGCATTGGGTGAAATTGGTAGTCCGATTCCTGGTCACAGCGTGCCTGCTAACGTGTTTGGTGGCAGGCCGTTTGCAAACCTCGGTCATGGGGGCTTTTAGGCGTAGAAGGTGAACCTGTATCAGCATCACTTAGCATGTTCGAATATGCGTCTCCCTTTTCCTTTATAGCGGTTGCATGGAGCTCGCGATTCTCAAATGAATCCGCGAATGGTGTTTCAGCATACCTTGCTGTTTCTTCCCTCTGTCTTCTCTCTCTGCACTCAGGGTGGTGTTTCGGCTAAGCCTACATCGTCCATTGAAGTATTGGTAGATTCAATATGCCTAGAGGAGCCAATACTCCTCTCTGGTATCTTGCCTGTAGCTCCTTGAAAAGGAGTGTATAGTTTCATCAAAAGGAATGAACTTCTGTGACGAGGTGGATAGTTGGACTTTTCTGATGCAACATTGCGTGTTGAAATTGTCCTTTGTAAACAGATGTCGACGTTGATTTACTCGGCAACACTAGCGGCGACGTCAGACCGGTGAGTTGTTGCGCCTCGATCTTACCCGGAGTACGGAGCTAATCCACGCCATGCATGCAATTAAGTAGGGCGTCCAGCGCGGCCCCTTCGAGATTGTAGATTCATTGGATTCGCTTTGCTTGGTGTCCCCAGAGCTGCATATCTGAATTCATCTGATTCGCTAATCGACATCAAACCACCCGAGCTCTGCAGGGAATTGCCAGCTCAGCTGCGTCTCAGCCTCACCTTTTGAATCAGGATTTTTTAGGTTTAGCGTTGGTGCGTGCTGTTGCTTCTTCAACGCATTTTGTTGGAGTCGTGGGGAACGATCCTCACCGGTTGCCTAATTCATCAGGTTATTTGACTTCTTTGACTGGCATCAATACCACCCACCATTACCTCACTTGTTCCTTGATTTTCCACTGTGTTTGCCGCATCCTTATCCTTCGTATTAAAAGACGGTTGTTTGAGTTGGGGCTTGTTCGCCAAAAGTTTCTTCTGTGCTGAAAATCTCGTCCGGACAGCACGGGACTTCATTAAGTAGGTAGAACACTGGTAGTGGGACACGATCCACAGTCACCATTGGGCGGTATGTCTCAGAATGGGTCGGTGGTAGAATCTGAAGAAAAACCCTCCCCTGGGAAAGAAAAAGAGCAGGCCGATTCTACGGACGAAATTGCACCCACAGTGCTAGACACGACTGGCAACGACCATCATCTCACCAACGGCGAGATACGAGAGCATAAGCCAGAGGCCCCTGAATCTCCCATTAAGGCGCATCATCTACCTCATCGACACCGTATTTCAAGGACGCCTGGCCCACCGCCACCCATCCGGAAGGTCGTCCACAAAATCGAATATCGCCATGTATCCTCCAACGACATTGTCTGGGAAGAGGAATCCGATCGCTTCGCGCCATCAAGGACTCCGCCTGAGCAGCCAGTCCTAGAAGTCATTACCATAGCCTTCACAGCTCAGGATCGGAGTCCATATCACTACCGAGATGCACCACCAAAGGCGCCGCCAATCCATTCGATGGGGGAAAAATACATCCAGATTAATTCCGCGGCCGTAGTCAATGCGCTTCGCGCCGTGGTCGAATATTGTCCTGGACAGAATCTTATCGGGGATAGTATTACCATCAGCGAGCCTTATACCATCCTGGTGCACCATGAGAAAGAGCTAGCAACGTATCGCGAGAACTTCGCGCCCGGGAAGTTAGAGGATCATTCTAATGATTCACAGTCGTGTCTTGTTGAAGAGGACACATATGAGCACCTAGGACTAGTACTTGAGTTCTTGCAGCAGACTTTGAAGGATTCGTTAGAGAAAGAGAGAGCAAGACATGAGCGAGAAAGACCAGTGACGACGTATGACATGCTTTGGACGTTATTCCGGCCTGGAATCGACGTCTATTTCGACACACAGTCTTGCGGCATTTTCGACTCGTATGTGGTCCGCAGTGTGGATTGGGAGATCAATAATGGCTCGCCGGTCAGGTACACCATTGGCTTGTGGAATTTGTACTACAACGCCATCTACGTTGGCCCAAGGATCTATACGGCCGTGGTGTTGCCATTTGATGGTGAGAAAGAGATCGCGGATTTGGATATCTTCCCTTGTGAATTTTTGAGAGAAGATAAGCATAAGGAGACGCCTGAGGCGATGAGAAAGAGGTTGGAGGAGAGAGGGAAGATGTTTTATCGCTTGACGAGTAAGCAATGTATGTGGTATGATGGGTTGACTACTACGTTTCCGAGACAGAGGGTAAGTTTCTTCAAATATCCCCGCCCCTTTCTTCTATATACAGTACGGAATATGGATGCTGATGCGTGATAGTTCACCGGACTTGTCATGGTTGACATGGAGTCCTTTTGGTTGTCCTTGCACTCGGATAAACCACATCCAGATGGAAAACTCCCTCCACCAAGACTTTCAGATGATGTGGGAGAACGCTCTATCGGCGGGATTCCGACGTGTTTCTGTAAGAGATGCGTAAAGCTTAACAACGTGAAACGGAAATCTAGATTTGCGGATTATGCGAGAATAAACCCGATGACGACGAAAGAGTTGACGCCGCATCAGTACTTTCTCTGCGACCGCTCTGCGCACGGGTTTATCATGAAAGTCCGGAACTGGCGTACGTATATACATCTAGTCCTCCTACCACAATCTTAATCCCAACCCGAACCCGTTCTTTATATTAGATACCAGAAGCATGCTAAAACCACCAAGACCGCCTCGACGTCTCCAACTTCTCCGAACCGCGCTACGACACTGCCCTCGTCGACGAACTCGTGCTGGACCCCTCCACTCGCACACTTATAAAGTCGCTCTCTTCCAAATACACCGTTACACAACCCCCCTCTCAACCCGCCCCCAACAACGCAATCGAAGACACATCTGACCAATGGTCCGCCGACTTCATCCAAGGAAAAGGCTCAGGTCTGATCTTCCTACTCCACGGGAAGCCCGGCGTAGGCAAAACCTACACTGCAGAATGCATTTCAGCATACACACGACGACCGCTCCTAAGTCTCACGTGTTCGGACATTGGCACCAACCCAAGCACAATCGAAGCAAAATTAGCGTACTGGTTCAAGCTCGCAAAACACTGGGGCGCCATTCTCCTAATCGACGAAGCGGACATCTACATGGAGCAGAGGGTCGCGCGAGACGTTGGCCGCAACAACCTGGTAGCCGGGTTCCTGCGTGCCATGGAGTACTACCAGGGTCTACTTTTCCTGACAACAAATCGAGTAGGGACGTTTGATGAAGCATTTATGAGTAGGATTCACGTTAGCATTCATTATCCAGATTTCCATGATGAGAATCGTGGAGAGGTGTGGGAGGCGTTTTTCAAGAAGTTGGAGAGGGAAAGGGAGGGCGAGTTTGTGGTAGCTGGGGAGACGAGAAAGTATGTTAAGACAAGTAAGGAGGTTAGGGCGGTTAAATGGAATGGGAGGGAGATTAGGAATGGTATGTGACTTTCCCCTAATTCTTGATAGCTGTTCTCAGGCCTATTTTCACCCCAAACCCCCAAATATTCCCGCTGACATGATGGTCTAAGCATTCCAAACTGCCGTTGCCCTAGCCGAAGTCGAAGACTCCAAGGACGATCTCGGCCGTACAATCCTCTCGCCAGAACATATCAAGCAAATCGTACATATGAGCAGCGCGTTTAAGAAGTATTTGGATACGCTGCATCAAGGGGATGAGACACAACGCGCAAAGAGAGAGGGACTGAGGATTGATGACTGGGATGAGAAAGAGGAGAGGGAGAGGGGGAGGGAATTTTATGTTTGAGTTAAAGAAGATATAAGGGGGGAGAATATGAGATATAGAAGGGGGTATCGAGGTGCTTGATCGGATTTGGGATACGGGAGGTTTGCATGGACTTTTTAATAGACTTCGAAGGTTTACAAGCCAAGTCCAGTGCCCATCTCAATCGAGCTTTCTTCAATCCAGGAACTAAAAGAGGGAAGAGGTGACAAGAGTTCTTACAGTAGTGCTGACTTGAGAGAACATTGCCTCTCATATTCTCTGGATCCCGGAGAGGGTGTCATTGTGTAATCTAATATTTTGGAGATGGCTGGCGGAGGTAAGGGAGGGTAAGTAGACCTCTTTCACCTCACAATAGACTCGCTTAAGCCAAATGCAGTCTGCCGCTCGCCGCCAACTCCGACCAACCCGATATTTTGCTCCGCTTTGCCCTCATGAGCCGCCAACCTCTCTCCAAACTCCCTCTCTAACTCCTAATGGGAATAAATTTTGGGCGAGAGAGTCCGTGGCCTAATGCAGCGGCATGCATTCTATCACCACTGCTTTTCGATATGTACCGGGGTACGAGAAGGGAACGGATGCGTTCGCATAGTGGTTGGCTGCAACAGCGAGAAACGCCAGGGCCGTCGATGACCTTTTTGAAGACAATTAGGCAGAGGGGGTGATTCGAGGGCGACCTAAAGACAAGAGTAGGAATCAGGCGAAGAAACCTGGCAAGACCTACGAGACCCCCTTGAGGAACTTCAAGCGACTAGCGACCGCGATCGCTACAGAAGTGAAAATCAAGGGACCCGCTCATGTGTCTCGTGTCCTTATCGACGGTATTCACGCCCGTAAAGAGTGTGTTAAATGGTATTGAAGTAATTAAGAGTTGAAAGATACTGCTAAACTTCACAACGACGGGTACCAATACTTTATTTCTGTCCTGGGAGAAGTTCGCAGCATATTGATCTCATGGGCTCCGTTCATCTGGCCCATGCTGAAAGTGCCGAGGGACTCATTCCATCAAACGTGAAATGGGTCGATTTGGGCTACTTCATCAAGAGCCGCGGAGACAACTATATTCTCGTTGGGAGGACGTCTGTGAAGCTAGAGCAAAAGGTCAACCTTAGATTCCTAAAAATTCTACTGCTTATAACGTCCCGCCTGAGTTTATGAGTGTCTCAGGAGACAGACGCTTGCAATTAGTGCTCCGGCCTCTTGGTGGTCGTGGGACAAGAATTGAAAACTAAACAGCAAATTCGTCATTGAAGAGTAAGACTTTAGAGGGGACATAATATTAACTGCTAGATCCAGCCAATAAGTCGATATGTACAGTTGTATAACTTCCGGGATGGAAAAGACTTCAAACACTCAAGAGCTGCTGAGGATCCCGCCGTCATGTTGGAAACAGTAATGAACTGAGTCCTAGATGAGCAAGATCATACTCGACTGCAGATCCCTACAACAGCCAAAAGAAAGGCACACTCCTCCCTTCTCCGCCATGTTCCCTGGCCGTGTTCAAGGATGTGTTGAAGGGAGACAACTTTTCCCCCCTCTTCAACATGATGAACTTGGACTGCATATTTGGGGCACTCTTATGACAGATCCACAAAACTTGCATCCATAAATCACCCCAAGACTACTTACTCGACTTCTACGGCCCGGAGAACAGCGTGAACGGATTACTCGCTCGCTCGCTGTCCGGCGCCGCGGGGGTCATGCATCCATCCAACCCGATTCTGGGATTTCTGTCAATTTGTACGGAAATTCATGCCGAGGAAGAAAATCCTGGGTCTCTGGAGGCAACGACGCGCGTGGGAATCACAAGCAGGACAGCAGTGTCTTTACAGGATGATCGAGAGATTTATGAGAACCCGATTAAAGATATTTTCCGCTCCATATACGAAACGCTATGGATGAGTATTTGGCGGAGGAGCTTGAGAAGTTCAAATCGCGACTTGGTGGTGATTTGAATGATCGGTTAGGGGACCAGGAATCGATGATTTCTCGTGATGCGAAACATCACTATGCTAGGTATATCTTCACCCCATATTCTTTCGCTATATCTCTTGCGAAGGGGGAAGAGAGAAGGAAAGAAGTAGGGCGGAAAACACGACGGGGACTTCGTTTTGGGGTTCACGATATCTTGTACCTGGTTAACCTTTTTTCCCCCTCCTATTCCCACACCACCTCCTCATTTCCCTTTAACCTCACTTCTTGTCCGGTGTATTATTCAGCAAATTCCAACTCCTACGTGTCGGATTTCCCGATCAAAGTAATACACTCCCATGCACATTGCACATTGCAGGACTGGGGAAATGATGCCAGCACGGCTATATAGGATGGCCTCAATATCAACCAAAATCCGCCGTAGGCAACAAGGAATTGCTTCTGGATCATATGAATAATTCGGAATGTTTCCCAAGGGGTTCATCCGATCTACAACCTACCACTCTCTTAAATCTTAATGTCAAAACTTGACCCACACCCACAACTACTCGTGGCCCCTGGGATTCCCGTGACCTTGAACTGGCTCCCAATCAACTCCATAGTATAATCAATCGTGCTCCCATTCAAAAGTTCTAGACTTGGTTCATCAATCACAACTTTCGCCGCCTTGTCTCCCTCAAAGACAGTATCTTCCTCTGTTGGCGGAGAGGTGGAAAGGTCGACTAACGACATCAGGTATTGAAATCCATGACATCCGCCACTTTCGACGGTGACACGGAGAGCCAGGTTGGGGTTGTTGTCAGTCATAGCGATGGCTGAAAGGCGGGAGGAGGCACGCGGCGTGAGGGAGATAAGCATGGATGTTCCATTTTCGGAGGTCCGAGGGTTTTGGATCGCGCGGGCTGGGGTGGTTTGCTGCGGGGGTGCAGATTCGGCGGCGGGCTTTGTGGAATGGGCGGCGGTGGTGACGAATCGGGGGAATTGAGTTCGTCTAAATGATATCAACGGCGATGAAATTGCCATAGATGACTTCTGGGGAAGCGTGAGGATAGAAGGAGCGAGGAAGTCGAGGAAGAGGGGTTGGTGTGGTGTGGCGGCGGTAGATATCCGGAATGCTCGCGATTGATGGATGCGGAGAAGATGCGGAGAAGGAAATGTATTCTTTGATGTCGCTGCCCGTACTCTCCGCAGACACGATATACATGCCGTTGATGCGGATGCCATATTGAAAATGGCTAGATGGTGTTCAGTTACGAAAGAGTGAATGTCAAAACCATTAGCGATCAAAGGCGGCACCTTAGGGCAGAAAGTTACATAAGCGCCAAAGAGTTTGGAATCCCCGCGATTGCCCCGCCTGTTGGAGTGAGTGTCTAAAAAGTTTAACTAACTTTCCTTTCTCCCGCACTTTCCCCTTTCCCCATTCCCCCCACATCCACCTTCACTTGACTGTGATTCACACTGGTTTGGGCTTCTCCCGGGAATGCTGAAGCCACAGAACCCTTTTGCGGGTGTTGCCGATGCTGAGTTGTGCTCTGAGGAATATGCTCGCAACGAGGATAGGAAAGATGCACTGAGTAAGTTGCGGGAGGAGTTCATCATCCCAACAAAGGCGGATTTGAAGAACAAGAGATATGGTCCTGTTCCTATAAGTCATACAGGAGGAGACAACACCAATGTCATTTCCAATGACGCGGAAGAGTCTGTATATCTCTGTGGGAACTCGCTGGGCCTTCAGCCACGCCGCACTCGGCAATACATCGACAAATACCTTGATACGTGGGCATCAAAAGCCGTATACGGGCACTTCAAGCCTCTCGAAGATGGCCACGCGCCATGGTTACACATCGACGATGCTATCAAGGAGCAGATGGCCAAAATTGTGGGAGCATTACCTAGTGAAGTTGTGGTAATGGAGACCCTGACAGCAAACTTACATCTCCTGATGTCAAGCTTCTACAAACCAACAAAAGACCGCTACAAAATCATCATCGAGGGCAAGGCCTTCCCCAGCGACCATGTAAGCCCCTCGTCTACCCCCCTCATGTCTCGCTTGGCATAGTCATCGAGACTAACGCAACCTCAGTATGCCGCCCTCTCACAACTGGCACACCACAATTTTCCCCCCTCAGCTTTGGTCACTATCAACCCTCCTTCGTCTTCGTTGCCATATCTGTCCAACGAGCACATTCTCTCCATTATCTCTCAACATGCCGCAACAACTGCCCTCGTCCTCCTTCCAGGAATCCAATACTACTCAGGCCAATTCTTCGACATAAACCTAATAACACACCACTGCCACTCTCTCGGAATAACCGTAGGCTGGGACCTGGCACACGCGGTTGGCAACGTGCCACTGAAACTCCATGACTGGAATGTCGATTTCGCAGCATGGTGTAACTATAAGTACATGAACGGGGGACCGGGCGTTATCGGCGGACTCTTCGTGCACGAAACGCACGGGAAAATCGAGGAAGAATCTCCCGCTGCAAATTCCGCTGACGGAGAAAGCGAGAAGCAGTTGCATTACCGCCCACGCCTAAGCGGATGGTGGGGCAGCGACAAAAGCAGCAGATTCCGCATGGACAACGTCTTCGTCCCTATTCCCGGCGCAAGTGGCTTCCAACTTAGCAATCCGAGCGCTTTGGACATGACGGCCGTCATGGCGAGCTTGGACGTCTTCTCCCTTACAACCATGGACGCTCTGCGGGAGAAAAGCTTTCGGCTCACTGCTTACCTCGAGGCTCGGCTGCTTCGGTACGGGGGAGTCAAGCCGCCGTATACCATCATCACACCCTCCAACCCCACTGAGCGCGGTGCACAGCTCAGCGTGCTACTTAATCCAGGATTACTTGACCCAGTGATGGAGCTCTTGGAAGAGGAGGGCGTTGTTGCGGATGAACGAAGACCAGATGTGATCCGTGTGGCTCCCGCCCCGTTATATAATTCCTATATGGATGTTCACCGATTCATTGCCGTTTTCCATGATGCGTGTAAGAAAGTGCTCACTAAGGAGACTAAGAATGATGTCTCGATTTGATATAGCGGAATCACTGCTTGTTAATCACATTGGGGTGAGATTTCTCTACTGAAATATTTCGCGTATATATTTGCCAGTGTTACTATCCATGTCTTTGGGGTTAGTACAACGGACGCAATATACCCAGGCGGCAAGGAGTTCCTCTCATATCATGTCATATCGCATTACATCACATTATATTAGAGGATATAATTAGGGGATGTTGAATTCAAGAGCCACTATATCCGTAGCTAGCCACGCCACAGCTTCCAAATAGCCAAACCAGCCGTGAATAGCATGAAAACAAACACGCCGGTACTCCAAGTATGCCCCACCATAGGCCAGTACCAACTCTCCTATCCTTGTCCTTCCCTCGGGCTACTACACGAAGACATCCAAAACAACAGCGACGCACTATTGCTGCTTCATCGCAAACGCAAACAAAGTATCCATCTGCACCCACTGCCTCCCATTCCTCTCAAGCCACCTCTCAACAACCCCCCTGACGGTCCCAAACCTCTCGCGGTTTACCTCCGCAAGGACTTTCGCCTTCTCCCTTGCTTCTTCTTCTACCCTGCTACCTCCTGCCTTCCCTACCCTATCAACATCAAAAAGCGACTTAAGATACAACAACTGATTCCAAATATCCTTCTCCTTAACTTCCCAGCCCATCTTCCCCAGACAGTCTTTCGCAAGGCCCTTGGGCCCGAGACACCGATGGCCGTAGACGGAGATCTGGCGCGTGCGGGTCCCGCATTGCGGGTCGTCGCATATGAGCCACCCGGCGTAGTAGCGAGCGAGGTGTTGGCGGATTGTCGATTCAAGTTGTGCGACGACTGAGAGGGTTGGGAGGATGGTGGCGCAGCCAGTGGACGGGCATTGGATGCCGGAGTGAGTGATAGTGGACAGAGATGAAGTTGGGGTCGAGAGGCCGGTGAACGGAAAGGTGGTACAACAATTCCGACACCGAAGAAACAGCGGCATGCAATCCTTAAACCTGACTTCATCTGGGATTTGAGATTCTAGGGGCTGGATCTCCGTATCCTGTGCATTGCCTGTGTGCGCGGCCGACGAGATACGGTACTTTGTTGTATCGAGCCCTAGACACGCCGCCAGCATCGTGATGTTGGTGCCCGAGATCGGCGCGCAGAGACGTTCGACCGGGGGCAGAATTTGCTTGTGCAAGTAGTAGTCGATGTCTGGTTTGAGGTCGGAAGAGGGGTTTAGCACTTCGTCGACGGGGAACGCATTTTTTGCAGCAGTCTCCGCGGATCCGGATGAAGCACCTGTGATGATGAACGACATGACGTCTTTGGCTTTGACGTGCTTGCCCTTGGCCAAGAGACGCAGTGCGACTTGCACGCTGGGCATGGAGTTCGCATTGGGGTATTCGTTGGGGTTTTTGCCGAGTTGTGTGAAGATTGTGTATTTGCGAACGGGGACTTCATATGAGCGCATCTTCTGCGTCAAGGTGCGTAAATGGTCGTGAATTTTTTCGACTACGGTTTCGGGGTCTTCGCCGCTGAGGAGGAAGTTCAAGAGTTCGGTGGATGTTTCTTTAGAAAGTGCGCAGTATTCTCGACGTCGCATGTCCAGACCCTTGACTTCGAGTTTCTCCACGTACTTGCCGTCCATAGGGACCATATTGATGGCAGCGTATTTCTTCTTCGCGTGCAGTAGGATCCGGCGGAAGACGTTGTCGATATCGATTTCGAGGAGCTTGTAGCTATCGTTGACCTCGCGCTTAAACTCGTTACCAAGTTTGAGCGCATCTTGAATGTTGTCGACGTTGGTGTTGATCATGACGGAATCAGTGTCGCCGTAGATAACGCGCAGCATTTTCGCCTCTGCCATGTCTTTTGTACGGCGTAGGATCTCGCGGCCTTTGTATGTTGTTAACATGGCGAGCGGACGGGCGTAGAAACGTGAGCGCGTGTAGCCAAGACAGCCGTACATGGAGTTTGCGGTGAGTTTGAGAGCGAGCTGTTTGATGTCCCATGTGGCGAGTTGGTCCGATGTGGCGGTGGGGGACTTCATGAGTTTTTTTACTTCTCGACGGCGGGAGACGAGTGTTGCAATTAGGCGTGGGAGAATGCCTTGGTCTTGGTTCAAGGGGACTTCGGGGACTCTCTCGTCGTCTTCAGACTGTATATTTATTAGGTCTGCTGATATAGGAGCTTGGAATTGCATAGGAGAACTTACGAGATCAGATCTCTCTACTGTCGTAAAGCAGATATTGAACTCCTGGATGATGCTAGGATACAAACTATTGAAGTCCATAACTAGGATGAACTTGTCATACAAGCCTTTCTCGGGCTCGAAAACAAGTCCTCCCTTGAACTTATCCTTTTTCTTGGCGTCAACGCCTTCTTCGCCCTCAGGGGTTTCTTCCTCAGCTTTCGGCTTGCCTTTACCCCACGACTTGTCGGGACAGATGTATTTGTTCTTGTGGAATTCGTGCAGAAGAATGTACTCATTGCGTTCTGCTCGCGTTCCGCTGAGTGTACGCGCCCATGAGTTTCCAGCGAGATTGGTGAGAACCTTGGTCAGAGGGAGCATCTGGACCTTGATGGAGATGGCGGCGATGAAGTATGCGTCGGCTTGGCAGTGCTTGACGTAGTTCATCAGACCGTCTTTTGTAGAAGCCCATGTCTTTAACGCTGCTTCGTTATCCAATTCCTGTCGGGGCTTGTTCAGGACAAGTTGGCACATTTCCTCCAGGCTCCATGATTGACATTTTGTCATGAGTGACTTTCCGAGATCGTTGGCCAAATCACACAATAAGCGTCCTGCAGCTAATTGCCTCTCAACAATGAAGCTGCCTCCACCCTTGCCCATGTTCTTGGGCCACTCACTTCTCCTGAGTCGCCCAATACGGTGCCAGCCTGGCGTCTTGCGCTCACGCATGCGGTTCAGTAAGACACTATAGTCTACGTCGTCGAGGCGATGGCCGACCAGTACATCAGGGTCGTGACGCTGGAACATAGCCATGAAGAGACTGAGGAGCTCTTTTTCGGTTTTGCGGAGCATGACGCTGCCTTTCTGTTTTTCGGAATCGGTTTTGAATCCAGTTGGAAAGGCATCTCCATTTGGACGCATGATAGTAAAACTCTTACAGGGAAGCTTGTCTGCGGGAGTAGTATCGGTGAGCGAGAAGTTATCATAGACCATAGCGCTCGCCACGAGAATCTCTTGCTTATTGTCTTTGGCGTTGAATGTGGTGCGAAGTGAGATGCTCATGAGAGTGAGCGGTGGAGCTTCCAAGTTGTCCGAGTTTCCGAGCGTTGAGATGAGCCCAGGCTTGCTGACTTGAAGCTCGAGCTTGCACCATGACGCGTTGTTCACGGCGTTGAAATTTGCATCATCGATCTTGAGCCAGCATGGACCCATGATGTTCTTCCAGAGTACAAATTGCTCGAACAATGAGGTGTTTGCGCCGAATACGTGAGAGAATGTCTCACCAGTCAGATCGGTGGAGAGAGGCGTTTTCTCGTACCCGTAAAGAAGTTTCAGGTAATCGGCCTCCTTGGGAATGCCTGGAAGCTCAAATGCATATTTCCTCGTGCAAGGTTTGATCTTGTACATAGCCACTCGGTGCTTGGTCATGATAGTATCGACTTCCTCGGAGATATCACTCATCTCGACCTCCTCCTCTGTGTCTCGACCTCGCCTCTGGCGGTATTCGCGAGGGAGGAAGTAAAGCTTTCGAAGAATGTTATCCACTTTGAGGAAGCAGCTGGCGTAGTTACCAGTGGTCTTGTCCATCACTTTTCCAAACAGACACAAGCTACCATTGATCTCGGTATAGTCAATCCAGAACATCCGCACGCTACCATCGTCTTCAAGCACTGACTGTGGGCTCAGTTTTCCGACGCTTGTAGTAGTCGGCGCGGGGCTACTCATGACGTTGAGTCTGTCGGTAACATCATTCCAGGAGGATGCATCAACAGCAGGCGCGGTTGAAGGCCCAGCTGGTGAAGAACTGGCGGGTGTCGGGTAGTCTGACTTCTTGATCTTGGGCACAGGCCGGCGTCCAGCCATGTTAATGCTGGGTGTAGCCACACCAGCATGACCAACCACCTCAGCGACCTCCATGAGGTCTTCCTCTTCCTCTTCGGCCTTGATAGGAGGTTGAGATTTCCGTTCTACGGCTTTGGCAACCGGTGATGATTGAAGGGGGAGATCGCTCATTGGCATATCGTCATCAATAGTGGGAAGATAGCCGTCATCGTTATTTTCTGCTGGAGGGGTGTCTGGCATGTAGCCGTCCGAGTCACCAGTCTTCTTCGTGACGGCATAGGCCCTGTTCTCAGACACAGTGGGGGACAAGACGCGTGTCTTTCTTCGAGATTCAGTCTTCATAGGTCGCATGAGAGGTGCAGAACGGCGGGGAATGTTCGAGTCCACTTTGCAGAGCAAGTCGGCCATAAAGGCATCATCCGCAGCGGTTGCAACAGGCTACGCATGGTGTTATTTGACATGGGTCTCGAGTGCACTGGAAATACGGACACACCTTAGGCTTCACAGCCTTTGTGGCAGCCTTCGCGCTGAAGTACTTGCTGATGCCGTTGTTGATCTTCTCTTGCCTCTCTTTGTCTTCCTCACGTTTCCTTTTGCCTATTACGCGTCAGGACAATCCTCTCAAATGATGCATCACCTTGGTGAGTTCGCATACCAGCATTGCCTTTGGCGGGGCGGTTTTCTTCCTCCTCACTGTCTGTCGCTGCGTAGCGATAGCCGGGGTGGTCACCGTCCCACTCCTCTCTGCCATCGTCGGCATAGCCCTCGCCATTGTCGTCTACAATGAAGTCATCTTGGTCTAGACGGCCTCGGACGACCTTTTTGTAGCCCTCTTCGTCGACTTCATCGTACAATTGCTCTTCTTCGACGACTTGGTAAGTGGAAAGGCGCGTCTTGCCTGCAGCACGCAAAGCTCGAAGCTCTGCTAATTTGGCTGCTCGTGACATGATGCAATAAATGGAACAAAGAACACCAGCAAAGAATTGGTAGAGTGGAAGCTCGAAGCTCAGGATTTGGATGTTTTCATGAGAGAGAGTAGAGGTTGGGTGGAGAGACGATGGATGAGCTGAAGACCACGTACCGCGTCGCGTCTTCCGAAAGTGGTTTTTGGCGCGCTAAGGTGGCTAGAGTGTGCACAGACCATACACACGTTCCCCCCCACCTTGCATTTCGCCCATCCACCCAACCCCTCGTTTTCTTTCATCTCAAGCTTCCATCATTGAAATGGCATCAAAAGACCCTCTTGCTTGGATAGACTGCGAAGTAGGGTTCCCAATACAGCTGGTCGTCCTTGCTAATTCATCCAGATGACTGGGCTTGACCCTGAAAATGACTCCATCATGTCTATTGCATGCTTTATAACTGACAGCGATCTCAATATCCTCGACGACATTGGCTTTGAGGTTGTCATCCATCATAGCGAAGAGCAGCTTGGTCGGATGGGGGAGTGGTGCACGAAGCATCACGCCAACTCTGGATTGACGATAGCTTGCACCACCTCCACAACCACCCCGGCTGAGGCAGCCTCAGGATTACTCCAATACATCCAGAAACACGTTCCAAAGGCCCGAACCGCTCTATTAGCTGGAAACTCAGTCCATGCTGATAAGTCTTTTCTGGTCAAACAGCCGTACAAACCTGTCATTGATTATCTTCATTATCGGATTTTGGACGTTAGTAGCATTAAGGAAGCTGCGAGAAGATGGGCCCCCACCGAGATTCTAAATAAAGCGCCAAGGAAGAAGATGTTACACGAGGCGCGAGAAGATATTTTGGAAAGTATTCGGGAGGCCAGATTCTATCGTAAGGCGTTCTTCGTGTTAGACTCATGAAACCGAAGGGTCACTAAAATGCCCGATAACGCGCTGCCTACTAGAGCGGTGATGCGGTCTGCAATGTTGATACATTTACGTGTCTCACAACCCTGGTCAAGGATACAACACAACAATCGAACCTAGAAATGCCTTGACGAATCGCCCATCTCCAACCTTGACGAAACTTCCAGAAAAGCTACTTAGCTTTGTGCGCTTTAGAAACGACCTTCTTTCTTCTTCATTTTTCACTGAAACACTTTGCCATACTATGAAAGGGGTCTACTCCTGCTCTTGTCTGTTATGACCACCACCCGATCCTTTCATGGCATTATCCAATATCTAACTATAATCACTGTAATCTTGGTGTACACAACCTCAGCAGGCCGAGTTGGCCTTTTCATATATACAAGCAATGTACTAGCTGGTCAAACTTTCCCTCCCTACTACAACCATCTTCCCAGAGAGTGGGGCGGCGAGTGAGCCCATGTTCTGGGAGTTTAGGCGTTAGGTTCCAGCTGACATTCTGTCATTATTCAGTTCACATTGGTCTAAGGGATCCTACCATGGAGTCGCTCGATAAGGACCCCGCATAGCAAGTCTAAAACATTACTAGGATGTCCTTGCTGCTGTCGATATATTCTTAGGCTGATATCGCTAGTGCTGAAGATACCTCTTGCCTCTAGAGCTTTTGGATCAGACATACTAGATGGAGAATATCAGCTAATCACCCAGTCAAATGCCAGTTCAGATTGTCTACTTTTTATGGACAATCATTTAATCTACTGGGAAGGTACTTGATTCATCCTTACCATCAGAATCGTCATCTCTTGTCGCTTTCCCTTTCCCAGTTGACGCTTCCATTTCTTTTAGTGCTCCAATGCCGACGCCAAGCTTTAGACCCTTCGACATCCTTGACAACAACGACAAACGACTAGAGGCTTAAGTCCCTTACCATCCGCTACCGCGCGATAACTAGTATCCAGACCGTAACGCTGCTGCTGCGTATGGACAGTCTCAGTGTTCTTATAAGAGCTAAAATGTAACGGCGCAGGCAAGACAATAGGTCCGAATGCGGTGTGAATCCACTCAGAGGCATATGGGAGTGCGTGGGGACTCAGAAACCTGGGAATTCGATTGACACCTATGGGCCTCGTACAAAAGGATATCAGAAAACTACTAAGCTAGCTAAGGGGAGAGGTGCGACTAGATACTTGGAGATAGGGGTAGCGCAGGTGGCAGGGTCGGGGCAGATACGCGGAACCTTCGGATATAGGTTTGTGAGGTAACTTTGAAATGGAACCATTCATGCAAATCGTTACATAAAATAGGCTATTTTATATAAGCATATAGCATAGAGGTTAAAAAGTAGAGGTTAGAAAGGTGGTGTTAAGAAAATTACGCAATTTTTTGTGTTAAACCTAGTTTTCTAGTTAAACCCGGGAGGGCCAAGGGGACCCTCACCTTGGCGCGTGGGGCGAGTAGGTTGCGACCCTGCCGAATAGACTTCTGCATCGAAGAATGGGATTTCAGAACCCATTGTGGAACGCCATTTGCGCACAGACCTATATTAGGCTTATTGAGGCGTACGCTCCACCACACACCTACTCTCCAATTTGGCGAACCTGAGGTTGAAGAGATAGCCTTGTGTCCAATAGGATGCAATCTGAATTCAAAGCTCGCCCAAAGAGGACCGTTCAATCTGCTGTTGCATTGCGCCTCCGCAGGGTCATTATCTGATATATGTTTCTTCCTTTAGCCTGCTCAAACTTCCTTGGTCGCATCTTCTATCATAATATTACCTCCCACTGTCGCTCCTTAGATACTTTGTTGCAGCCATGCGACCTGTATATCTGTTTTCCCAAATCCCAAAATGTCTACTTCTCATCTGCGCGGGATTCTCCAACATAGTCAATGGTTTGATGTTCGATAGCTACCCAAGTACAGTTGAGGTTGGCAAGACTTATGAAGTCCGTTACAGCCCTGGAGGCAATTCTGTAACTATGCACCAGCCCGACCTTTCCTTCGTGTTTAAGCTAATAAGTCCTGTAAGCCTACTACATTTATCCTAAGACAGGGTGACCCGAACTCACTTGGGACCGTCGGAACTCTCACTAGTACGCCATAAAACCCCAGCTGTCTGAAGAATGTCCCTAACTTTCACAAAGCTAGCGCCACTGGTGGTATATTTCGGTGGACGGTGGACAGTTCGCTTCCTAATGGCGAAGATTACGCATTAGAAATTCGGCAAGGCAACAGCGACCTTAATTTTTCTGGCCTTATTAAAGTCACAGGCTCGAATGACAGCCCATCTTCGTCAGCCGCTATAAGCTCTCTACCTCCTTCTAGTAACCCTCCGAGTACCCGTCCGAGTAGTCCTCAGAACAGCGCTTCCACGTCTCCAGAGACTCCAACATCAACAAGTGCTCCAATCCCCTCCTCCTTGAGCCCTGCCTCCGCAGGGACCAAAAGCGCACAAGCCACGGCCACTTCGGCAACCTCAGCCATCACGTCTGAGAAATATGCTGGTAGTACTTCAACAAAAAAGGGCGAGTCATCTACCTTTGCCTTAGAAACGGTTGCGACTACTACAACGTCGACGCGATTTTCTGCGACGGGATCCACCACTCAGAGTTTACCAATAGGCACAAAGATTGGGATAGGTATTGGTGCAGCCATTGGAGGACTGATTCTTGCGCTCGCCGCATTTTTCCTCAGAGCATCATTCCGGCGAAAGGCATCAGGGCCCAGGAACCAAGAATCAGGGGATATTGTAGGCATGCCAGAAATTGACGGAAAGGAGATGAAGATTGGGGACGATCGACCTGAGATTGATGGAAGCGAGACACAAGCGCCAATACTCCTTGGGAGGGCGGAAATGAACGGGGCACCAGATCGAGCCCTAGTTCGACCGGAGTTGGTTGATACACTACCTCAGCGTCTCTCTTCAACCCCTGCAGAAATGGACGGCGAGGCGGTGCGAGCCGAGATGGATGTTCAACCCAGTACGTCTTCGCCACAGGAGCTTCTTGTTTCTGTCGATACAAGCGAGGCCACGGTACTTTCTCTTGAGAACGAGCAACCGGAAGTTAAGGAAACAAAACCGTTCGAAGATCCACGATTGACGCAGAACCCGTGGGCATAGTAAATACCCTCCTGAAATTTCTCCAACTCATTCGATAAAGATAACTTTTTCTTGTGGAAAAAAACATTGTGGGATGGAAGTGCTCCACTAGAAAGCCTCCCAACTCGCGGTTTATCCTTTCAGAGCTACAAAGCCGAGTACTTTGTTGTGCCACCCCCCCGCATTCCTTGAAGTACCTGGTCCTTTAATTGCGAGTAAGCGTTTCGCAAACATGCGGCGTTGCGGCGTTGCCTTGCAGCTATCATTATAGCTAGGTTTGGCGAGGCTAGAAACCAATCATTAACTGCGACGACAACAGAAGACGCCAAGTCCGACAATTCTGCATCATTGCTATATAAAGCATCGGACAATTGTGCATTCCTCATAAAGTGACGCTCTATATCGCATCTAGGATTCAGGCTATCGGGTTAATTCTACACCCCTCCTCCAGTCTCAACCCCTCCAAACTCTATCTTGATGTCTTTCTCTTGTTCTCTCGACCGGCCCTCTCAATATGCTTGTGCTCAAAATATTATGGCTCCCAATTTCAGCGTGTACTATTATTATTGAGCCTACGCGAGGATTGATCCTAACAAATACACTGCGGATATTTGAGCTGGGAAAGACCTACACTTTAACTTATGCCCCAGCAGACGATCAGGTACGTGCTCCGCGGTCTGACCATATATTTTCCCGTCTTTATTCTCTTTCCTAACTTGTATTCATATGACAGAAGACCTCAATTGCATTAATTGACCCAGAATCGGGCGGCCGGACAATATTGACTTCCAATGCTACTGGGGGACAGTTTGCATGGCATGTGAATGAACTGCTAACTCCTGGAGATGGTTATCATATCGGCCTTCGTCAAGGGGAAGAAATTTCGGCAGGTGTCCTATTCGGCGTCACAATAGTGCCAACCGGGTCAATCGATGATTCCGCGATGTTCACACAAACGATATCGCCCCAAACAGCAGGCGGGTCCTCTGGTTCCCTCACGACATCCACGGCGGTCAACGCCAATTTGAATAGTCCTTCATTGATGCCAACTACCTTGTTCACAAGAGAAACACCGGCAATGGTGCTCACTAGCGCTCAGCCTTCACAATCGTGGCTAAACAGCCCTTCTTCCCCAACGACATCTCAGAGCAATTCTCTAAGCGTCAACTCGGCCCTAAGCACGAAAGTTAAAGTAGGCGTTGCTATTGGCGCAGTCTCCGGGGCGCTAATTTTGGCAACCATTGCTTTCTTCTTCGGAATGAAATTCAAACAGGTGTCTACTACAATGAAAAAGATCTCACGGCTGTATGAACCCAAGCCTGAACTAGATGGGAAGCCCATCAATGAACCAGTTGAACTCCCAGCAGATGGACCCGGTTCATCAAACGAACCTCAAGAACTTCCAGTTGTGGAATCACCAGCGGAGATAGGCCGTCAAAGCGCATACACGAACAGCACCATCATCGAGGCTCTAGGTCTAATTGACTCAATCTTTGGAAACAGAGCCTTGGATTTAGAAAGCCCTTCCGCACGAGACACAGGTCACAAAGCCTCATATTCGCAAACGGCTTTGGCTCCTCTCAGCCCCATTTCGCCTCTCTAGAATATCAATACCCAATTTATTAAAGTGCTACGAGGAGGAATCAAACGATGGTACGTCGCGGAGTAAATCGAGAAATGCTCCAGCCGCTCGCAACAGCCTTGACCTCTACAACAAGCTTATCAAACGTGTTGTAACTCTTGTCAATCCTCCGGAAAGAGTGCATGCCGAAATTCTCACCTCAAAGGATTGGACGATTTGCTGTTGCGGTCCGCTGTATTTTAGCCCCATCGGTTTTAGGCCCTGGTGTTTCGAAAAATGCATCTCGACGCGCTGTTATGCCTACAACAAGAGGGCGGCACACCCAATCATCAAGCGCCATCATACACAACAAGTTCTTAAGCCACAATTCTATCTATTTTTGCCATAGCGTCACTTGCGACATTTAATCGAAATATAGGACGACTTAGCTGCTTCTAAAACTTAATGGCATTTTCCTAGGCCTGTGGAGTTTTCTTCAATCCTCTTCTCGCGATCTCTCATTGCACTTGAGCTTATACTTATTATGCTTCTTAATTACAATTTCCAACTCTTCGTTCTGGGGTTCATAGCAGCTGCGCAGGGCGCAGAGGTCATTGCTATTACTTTGACCGACAACAGGCCGTTCTCCACAAGGATTGTCATAGAGCCGGATGTCGAATATCGTAGCTTAGAGCGAACATCGACATTGACATCAGTTTTGGCAACGTCAACATCAGGTCAAATTTCAACGCCAGCATTTGAATCACTTCCACGATACATTCCCTCGCCCCTATTACAATCCTCAGCGCAGGCATCCTCTCCCTCTATGGTAATGTCGACAGAGTCAGCCACACCCACGCTGACTGGACCAACCCTGTTCACACTCAGTCACTCCATGTCCTCTTTTGTGTCGTCATCTTCACCATTATCACAAACCTCAGAGACGTCAATCCCATTACCGTTTTCAAAAAAATCCTCCAAATCGAGTCTTAGCGCAGGGGCCAAAGCAGGTATCGCGATTGGAGCAATCCTGGGAGCTGCGGCTTTATCTCTTTCTGCTTTCTTTCTCGGCATTCGTTTTCGAACGCAAATATTAGGTAATAATTCTGAGTTGGGTTTGCGCATCTCAAAAGCAGAGCTTGACGGGAAACCAATCTTCCAGATGTGGCCAAGCGAGTTGGATTCGAAATCGGAGATTGCGTTGGAGGACGCCCATGAACTTCCGGGAGATTTTGTGCCAGCGGAGATGGACTAGGGGTCTACCGGACTTTATGGTCGCAGTGTTTCGAATCCTGAATCCTGCGAAATTAGTTGGGAACATGGTCACGTGTGTGGCGCATTCGAGCTTGTGTGCATTTTTGACCATGTGAGCAAACATGGTTGCGACTATGAAACGAAGGGGTTCCGGACAATTGGCCAATCAGCGAATTTCATCATCCGTAGATGTTCAGCGAAGGATCCATTCCGGACATAGGTACGGCACAGCCTCCAATTCTTGGAAACGGAGACTGGCCCCCATCATAGATGCATTCTGGCCTTCATATTGTTTTACTGTGTCTTTAGCATGTCCTCTTCACACACATCGCCCTTTTACCATTTGGTTAAGGTATAGAGACGATGTCTTCAAAAAGAGCTGGTTCGGTCCCTACCCTTTCCTAGGTCGAAGTTACTGATCTTCCTAGACTTACCCGCTACAACTGCTACCACCACTCAAGGACGCGGTAGCGCTTCGTCACGAGTTTCCACACGCAGGAACATTGAAAGTACACTAGCACCATCCTCGTTCTCCAGCACAACCACGCCCACTCAACAAATCGAGACATTTTTCCCGAGTATCCAATCCTCGCCAACACAAACAACTTCATCATTGAAGTCCGCGGATGTCTCTCTCATATCCAGCAGCGACATCTCAACAACGCCCATAGAATTTTTGACCGCGACATCCACTCCAACGCCTTCAACATCCGCAAATTCACCACCGGGTTCAATACTCGAGTCCCAAAGGCCAGTGGCACATTCCAATCTTTCTCCGGGAATAATAGCTGGTATCGTGATCGGAACGATTGTCGGGGTATTACTCGTCGCCGCCGTAGCTGTTTGTTTCAGCCTTCGGTATCGACGTCAGAACCGGTACCCCCAACCACATGAACGCAAATCGGAGCATGGTGGATACGAGGCGCTATACTCGGCAACCGTTGCACAGGCAAAAGCGGTACACGTGACAAACTCGAAGTATGAGATGTCTCGGGATATGGCTCCACAAGGACTTCCTATTCGAGAGTGGGAGGTTGAGAGTCCCCGGGTGTCAATGGTCAAGGTGGGAGGGGAGAGGCCAAGGTCTTCTCGGTATTATGCCTTTGAGAACGAGGATGTCAGGAAGAATATTGAGAGAAAGAGTACTCTTGGAATAAATTGAATGCGAAGTTCCTTCGAGGACCCGCATGGTAGGCCGAACAACTAGGCTAAAGAGACAGGTGATACTTGAAATACCCTAATTGAGAATAATTATAGATCTGCGCTTCTGCTTGCGCATTTCTGGACAAGTTGGTCATCAATATCAAGGACCAATCGTGTAGATAATATAAGAATGGGAACTCATCAATATTTGCGCTCCTCGTACGTCTCCTATCCAGACTCAATGTTAGCGCATCATGATAACTCCTTCGGCTTTAAATTTCTGACGTGTTCATGTCTTTCGTGGCACAGGTTCACTCGCACGCAGCCCAACTACCACAACTCCCCCAATGAAATTCGAATATATTTTTATGCCCGCTGCAATTAGGCGACAGGGCTACAATCGCGCATCTGCAATGCCGAGACTGCATGTTTGATGCACAGGCTGATGATACGAAGGCGCTTGATTCAACTCCACAGCTTGATCTTCTTTTCGTCTCTTAACATCCTCTAAACGTTAAACATTGCGTAAGTGTACTTAGTTTAAGTTCAATTCCTCTTCCCATTTACACAAATCCCCGACATAGGTCATGCCACCCTGTAACACGGACCTTTGCACTTCGAAAAAAAAGGTGCATGCACCGCACCGATGACTAGCATTCTCTGCTATCACCACTACCACGATTTTCTTCATCTCGCTACTTGCGGCCGTTAGCATAGCTATTTGCTCACAAAGGCAACCTACTCATAACGGCGGCCCCTACTGACTTCCCTTCCTGTAAGACTGCTGAAGGATGAACTATGTAGGATATCGCTAACTAGTAAAGCTATTGTCAACCTCAGCCCTGTGGCCCATCTCAAGACCTCCCTCAACTTATATTATATCATCCTTCATTTCACGGAGCGCCTTGGCCCTTGGTGAAACCCCTTCAGTAATTGTCGTCACTGCCGTGATTACAATTTTCGATAACCCTCCGACGCGGATAGCAACAATAGCATCACTTATAAGCACGCTGAGCTATGCTCTATCTAGCAAGCCCGTTCTATCATCAGGAGCAATAGCGGCATCGAAATAGGCACAATACTCGGAGTGCTGCTCATCGCAATCTTCGCTTTCACTCTTAGTCGCGGAGTTCAACGAAAAACACTGAAAGAGAATACCGAAAGTAGAGTTGGCAACAATCAAGTCGACTTGATAACTTGACTTGATTGACTTGATTGATAGCCGTCAATCAAGTCAATCAGCCAGGCGAAATTTACCAAGTCAATCAAGCAAATCGTGCCTGCTTGATTGACTTGATTGACAGACTTGAATCCCTAGGATCTTAGGTTTACTGGGGGATACAGGATCCTTTAGTGTGCGGGAGTAGTGAATATAGTATGAGGCAGCTCGGCTTTAAGGGACTTTAGAGTCGTGATAGTTGCCTAACTAGGCTTAGCGCCATATATCTGAAATTCCTCAACTTCTACCGCCCACCAACTTACCTGCCTCTACCACGTATACAAAGGCTGGCTAGACGACTGCCACCTTGGCTTTCAACGCTTGTGGGCAGAGTTTAAAGACGCCGCCTCTCCCGTCAGTACTCCAGAGCCTCCGCCGAAGAAGGCACGTACAGGGCTAGCTGGGAGCCGGTCAGATTTTATGAGAGCTGCCCTACAAGGTGACGACGCCCGCCCAACCTATCGCCGCGATGAGTTCGAGCGCTGGATAATCGAGTCACCTGTACCAGAGGAGTCCCTGTTTGCGCGCAACCCGATTCTGTACTGGATGGGGAAGGCTGACGAGTACCCCGTCTTATCGCGCTTCGCCCTTACGATCCTCAGCATCCCTGCGGCGGCCACTGATTGTGAGAGGACCTTCTCCGAGCTGGGTGATTTGCTGGAGACGAGGCGTCTCCGCATGAAGGCAGACCTCCTCTCCGCCCTACAAAGCCTACGTAGTTGGAAGCGCCTTGGCTTGAAGCCTACAAAGTTAGCAAAAAGTCCACGTAGTGACGCCATCTCTCCCGAAGACCTGGAGACCATCTACGAGATATACGGCGGTTGATTCACTACGTAATCTATCAATCAAGTCAATCAAGTCAATCAAGTCAAGCCTCATTTGTGCCATCAAGTCAATCAAGTCAATCAAAACGTGCCAGATCCGTCAATCAATCAAGCAATTCACCCCGACTTGATTGACTTGATTGTTGCCAACTCTGACCGAAAGTGGGGAAGATTTCTGGCACAAGCCCGAACTGGATGGACTTCCGGTAACGATGGTGGGTGAAATGCAGGAGCTTCCTGCTGATCCAGTCCAACAATGTCCTTTTGATGCCCTAGAGATACAGCAAAAAAATGCGTTGGATGCTATGGCGGAGAGTACCGCTTTTCCCCTGCGTGGCGCTGGTAGAGTGAATATCCAGGCGCGCGGTGTGGAGGAAAGATATGGCATGAGGGACACCTATCCGGTCACTAGGTCACTTGAGGATCAGAATTTGGCATATAGTCCTTGGACTCAAGACATTTAAAAGCATAATGAAGGTCATACATATCAATAAAGACGGAGTTGGATCCAGTCTTCCAAAGCTAAAGATTACCTGAGCATTTCTTCCCCTTGGCTAAGCTTGTAAGAGTCCGTCAGTAGTCATTGAAGTCTGACCGCAGTGCTTGAACCTGCACCATCGCTCTGGATTAGCGCTAGATAAATGGAAGAGATCAAGGTGGCTTCGAGGAAAGCTTCAAGAGAGGTAAAGAGGCGGATTACAAGTGGGGCGGGTGACTTCTGTCCGATTGTGCAGCAATGATAGTAGCCTGTAATCTCTGACAACAGCCCGTGGACATACCAGGTAGACTAGTCAGCAAAAGGGAGACGCCCAGGCCAAATAAATAGGTAGATCTCTTTCCAGTCCTGAAATCTCGCAATCTCCGGGCAGTTCTTCTTTCATACCACAAGTTCTCCTCCTCTTACGTCATCGTTGGTGCCGGGTTCTTTGGTGTATCAACCGCATACTACTTAGTCAAGAAACACCCGAGTGCGGCCATCAGCCTCATGGGCTGGACTCTGTATCCCTGTCCAGCCTCGGCATCCTGAGCTGGATGCTCATAAGGGAATCTCGAAACCATATCCTCGCGCACTTATGCGAGAACTTAAAGGGTGGAATCGTAGCCACCTTAGTTGAATATCCTTGCAGGGTCGAAAAAAATATCGATTACTTCCATGTGCTCTAGGATCGGACCAAACCGAAGACGTCAGACGAATATAAATTTTCTATCTTCAAAAGCCATGAGGCATGGTGAACATCCACAAACGTATCCGGACTTAACAAATGGCAGCTGTGAGAAACTTTGGGAAAATATACTCCTTCTACGCTAATGCCGCAATCTTAAACTTATTCCGACTCACACCCAACGAATGAGCAACACGTTGGATGGAAGTCATAGCAACCCACGCTTACATCCCATTCTCAAAATTACCCCGCCATTCGCAAACGGTTGAGCTAATCATAACTGCACCACAGCCTCACTACCATGGCGTCAGCGCTAGTGAACCAACTGCCATCAGCGTAGGATCTAAATAGATCTGATTCTCCGACTTGGCAGATGTCAGCCGGCTCCATCATCTCCTGTGCAACAACGATATTGTAGCGAATTCGGAAAGGCGTTTTAGGGAGCTCTTGGAGGGTTGGAAGGCCATGAGACGTAGGCGTCATCGATTTGGACTAAGGGTTGGGGTTGGGGTGGGGAATTTGGGACCGGACAACTCGATTTTGAAGTCTTCTAGGGCGACAAACTCCACATACTGACGCGTAAGCTGATTCCTTAATATTGGGTATAAGATCTTCCGAGCAGCAGTTTTGCATGAACCCAACTTCTTTCGACAAATCCCGTAGCCGTTTCAGGATATTTCCCACGGCCAACGTGAAAACGAGCATCGGTTTTTGATCTCGCCTGGGCTCTCTGGGTAACCCGCCATGAGACTTTCTAGTTCTCATTCACACATCGAAATCGACCATAATAGTTTAGAAAAGGTCTGTTTTCGCATAACCTCAGTCTTCAGTCCAATTTTAAGAGTTAAATGCCGTCAAATTTCCAGGATCTGAGAACATAATCTTTCGCTTTCTTGTTTTATTGTATGTCTGGCCGCGGATTTCCAAGGAGGCGTGGACTCAGAGAGTCGGAGCATACACGTCGTATTCTTTTGCTGTGAACAGAGGTTCCAGGAATGCCTTCAGAGCACTTTATAAGGTTGGGCCACGGAACTAGACCTGAGGGAGTTGGTATGTTGCATATTTTCGGAATGTATTTCTTGGGGGGTCGTGGCCCTTCAAACCCCCCTGTGTTCCTGCCATAGCAGCATAGACTATATGGTTTTAAGCCTCGTTAATGTCATCCGGGTGGAAGATTTGTTCGGGCTAGAAAATCCATGAAATTCTAGATTTTTTTAAAGTTTCCCTTCTGGATCACTCAATAATTGCGAATCCAAGTTCAATGCTAGAAACCGAGAAACGAGTGTTCTCCGGCCCAGAGTCTATACTGCGCTTAAGGCGATACTTCTAGTTCTCAGGCGCACATAACACTGGGGTACAAAATTTCGAGAGAATTGCTTCAGTGCCATTGAGAGCATCGATTTTATCTCTTCAGATAGCCGGCTGAACATCCAAGGCGCCAATCGCTCAGATCCAGGCCATCTCCAGGAATCAGTCGGAATTCTTCTCCCATAGAACTCTATACACTTGGCACTCAATCGTTTGTAGCACGAGACCCAGGCCACTGTCGACATGGATCTTGCCATTTTTTTCTTCGTGAAAGCAACCATTCTTCTAGTATCACACGTCCAAGGAAAGTATGGCATTTTTGATTCCACTCCACGTATGTGTCTTTTCTTTCTGTGTTAGTGCTTCGACAAGTGCTCCAGGTGCCATACCCAATATTCAAGTACCTCTTTAGAATTCGGAGTTGTACATATAAACATGTTCAATAGGCTTGTCTTTTGTTGAGTGGATGAACACTGAATGTGTCCAATCTTATCCTAACCCAGGTGAAGATTGTGAAAGTAGACGATGACCAAATTCCATGTGGCATAAGCCCACCTACGCCCCAGATGCCCCGCAACACGGCCATCGAACCCAATTCTCAATCTGAATTCATAATATTGTGTAGCATAGGTACTTGCGACCTATTCATGATAAATATACAAAAAGCCTCCTAACAAAGCACACACATACACGTAAACGCCGACGCTCATGACCTTACGCAATATTCGTAACAATTACTTCTAACTTCTCCTCTCCAAATCCCTTTCACTTGAGCTCAAACTGCGCTCATATCCCTCCTCGCCTCTCCATGGCAGAGCTTCGAAGCTAAATCGCCTGGGTTCCTCTTCTGCGGTTTCGAAACTGGGTTCATTCCTCCCCGTGCCTTCGGAGGGTTGTGGCGGACTTGGTTCTGGGGGCATGATTTTGGCGGGGAGATCCGATCTAGCGTTGTGTGATTGAGGTCGGATTTGCGCTGGAGCCGGAGCTAGCGCTGTTGGATACGTCTTTCCCGGCAGATCAGAACTCGCAGTATGTCTCGTTGTCGAATACTCTCCTACTTTCTTTGGGATATCTGAGGATTCTGGTCTCCTCGCATCGATTGGGGTTATGGTATCGTATCCCGGTGGCAGTGCATGTTTCCCACTAGTGCCTTCAAGTCTCGCTAACGCGTCCGCAATAGCGCTGCTCATATCGAAACCATTCATATCGTGGCCCTCTATCTCGTTACTCTTGTTCGACGTTCCTCCAGATGTACTTCTCCGATTCCGGTGCTCCATTACTGGGATTGAGCCGCGTGGGAGCTGGGATTCGCGAAGCGGCCAATCCCCTTTGTCGGGGAGTGATGGAATGGGAGGGACATCGCCGCTGACGTAGGTATCGCGATCTGGACTCCATAGGCTGGGATTGGACATGTGCGAGTGGTGTGTGCGAATGGAAGATGCGCCAGATATGCGCTTGATCTTCCAATGTCCGGTCTTGGAGTCGACTTCAAGGACGGAGGATGGGTATCGTAACGAATCAGCAAGTGTGCGAGTATCGTCGAAGAGGGACGACTCATACTCGTGTAGCGTGTCGGCTGAGACATTGGGATGCGCTGTATACATTGGCCCGCTCGAGGCGCGCTTGAGATTCTTTTCGTTGCCAATAATACCCACGTGATAGCGTCCGTCATGGTAATCTCCAGCGCGTTTCGAACCGTCTGGGACGTGGAAACGGAGGTCGAAGCGAACAAGTGCGTATAAGATGACAACGATAATTTCAGTAGTAAAGTTAAAGATGTAGAAGCAAGTTCGAGAAAAATACCACGGCGAAGGGTTTGGCCATCCGGTTTGAGGGTTTCGAAGAGGAGAAGGTGGAAGCCATGTTGTAACGCAACGGAAAATGGCCCCAGCCGAAAGCATGAAAACGGCCAAAAGAAGGATTGAGATGTTGTTACGAAGTCGGCCAGCGCCAAACTTTTCGGTGCCCCTTCTTGGGAGAATGACCGAAATTAAGATCAGGATTGCTGGAGCAAGACAGAATACTGCGAAGTAAGTCTGGCCCGTGAGTTGGAGATTGCGATCGATCTTGTGTATATATTCATCCAAAGTGAAGAATTGCTGAATCGATGCTACAATGAGCATCAATAAGCAGGTGATCAGGAAGAAAAGGCCGGCTCGGTGGAGAACACGGTAAGGCTTTGACCACCCCCATCTTGGATGCTGAGCGCGGATGATTCTTTGCGCGAAAAACCAGTTCATAATGAACAAAATGACGGTTCCAACATAGACGAAGATTTGAGCCGCAATCGCCAGACTGATATTTCGAGCATGACATGCCCACGCTATTCGCAAGGACATTGTTATTATTCGAATTGTGCAGAAACCTAGCTCCAGGTAAGTTTTATATTCGCAGATTCGAGTTTGACTTACCAAACATGGCCCCCGAAAACAAAAATTTGTGCCCTCGGGCATTGTTCTTCTTGAATATTACAATATGGATAATTGCGAAGACAACATAGAGGAAAAGAAAGGCGGCCGTTATAGGAATATCGGGCATTATGCTAGGTACACCACCCAGACTGTCGTTTTGTGGTGCATATGGAGGACCTGATTGTACTGGTGGGCCATGTTGCCCCTACATACGGTTAACTTTCCCTCTAGCAAACAATTCTCAAGATACATACTAAAGGGGGACCTCCTTGACCTCCTTGACCTCCTTGACCACCCTGAGGAGAAGACATGATGAACTGTCTGCGCGCAACAGAACGCCTATCTCAGCGAAAGCAAATAGCAGAGCAAAGGCCGCGTCAACGAGCAACACCGGCCAGTACATATATCAGACTGGCCGCATGTCAGAGAAAGTGGGGCCGAACGGGACATGGCTGCCTTAGTAACCTACAAATAGCTTGGTGGAAGACAGGGTGAGTGACGAAGGCGCTGCACGACGCACATGAAACGGGGTGTTGGTGCCAATAAGAAAGGTAAGAACCATTATTAAGTGTTCTGAGGTTTGATGGCACGGCGCCTTGGGATTTCCCGACAAACATTGGTATTGTAAGAGACCATGCGGGCCGTCATTTTGCTTCTGCTGGACCGTAGTTGCATACCTACATCTGGACATTTGCGTGGCGCTAGTACATAAATACACTTTTTCTCTCGCAAGAACCCTTTCCATGCATATTTGTAGCCTAGAGCGTCGAAGAATTTTGTTTCTCGAGCTTTTTTTGTAATGATTGCGAAACTTTGCTGATGATGACGGGTAGTGGTGTGCTGCGAAATGGACTTCGGGTCTCCTCTCAAGGCCGGAAGATCGACTGCTCACGGTTGGATGGGGGTAGTGAGCGAAGGTGCTGAGTGGTCAGATCCTGAAGTCGGAGGACGGGAGTGAAATCTCCGACGAATGACGTTTAACATCGGTCAAGCGCGACGCCGATCCTCGTTTAATTATCCTCATTAGGAAGACTATTCTGGTGAATGCTAGAGTCACTCCAGAAGCTTGCCTTGAATGTGGTGGCTTGGAGGAGACACCTGAGAAGAGCGAAAACGTAAACTATGTTTCGCGATGGCGTTGCTAAACCATGTTAAAGCTACGCGATAAATAGGCTGTGTCTCGACCTTCTCTAAAGTTCATCAGCATCATCGACATGCCATATAGATCTGGATGCAGCGTTTCCAACCAGATCCCGAGTACACATGTTGACGTGATTGTCGGTATTGCGGTGTTATTCGTCGACCGACGGTGGCACAGAGTTTATTTGCATGAGGAAAGGTGAGATGAGGTTAGATTCGCACCATGCTCTGTACCTGTCAGTACAGTTGTTGTTGCCGCTGCTATATGGAATCTCCCATATAAATATAGACCGATGCCTGTTTCTAGAAGCTCACACCAGTACAGCGTACTGGGGGTGGAGCCAGGGCTTACCGGCAAGACTCATAATCCCTCACTGCCACAGTAATCGCCACCTGGGCTTTGGGAAGACAGAGTTCTACGTTTTCTCCCCTCAATCTTTGTCCGAATGAATTTTCGTACTCTCGTCGTGCGACGCTAATAAATTAGTCGTATAACTTTTCTCTCTTCATTTTGTCTTCATGAATCCTGTAACGCCGCCGAGGATTGCTGTAACAGTTGTGATCTTGCTGTTCCAGCTCACAAAGCTGCTGATATCCCCTCCATCTACCCTTTCGGATTTGGTTGAGCCGTATGGGTTTTGCATTCCCTTCCCATCCACCATGTTCTTCCACCAGGCAAGGCCAATACTACGATTGAAAAGAATAGTCGGAAAGACTGCATACGGAGTGACGACGTCCAACTCTTGCACTGTTTGGTTGGAGGTGCTTGGAATACCGACACTCAATATGTAACCTCGAATCTGGCAACTGGAATCTGTGATGTTGTTCACTGACGCATACATCCCAGGGAGATTGTTTAGATACGAGTTACAAGTCCGAGCTCGTTCAGTTGTGGAAAATCCGCTTAATGAGTGGCACATCTAGATATGGCATCTCAAGAATCTTCCACTATTCGTGGCTGGAATACCAATACCCCCTTTACACGGTGACGTTGCCGAGAGAAGTATTGGAATCCCACTCAACCAATACGAGTTGTGGGCGCTTCACGGCCCATATATCCGCCTTGTCGGTGGCTGTAAGGCATGGGGAGAACAGATACAGCCACAAAGTGAACGGTTCGCCTTCGTACGGGTCGTTTAGGGCCTGGGTCCCTTCGCAAATGTAGGATTGGTTAAAGCCACCAATAGGCACTGATTGATTCCTGATGCTTTCTACAGCACAGACACGACCTATACCATTGTAGAAAACCTATTATCTTCGTTTTAGATCGAAATAAACCTATATTCTAGGTAGACTTACCTCTTCAGCCGTCACTTTCGTGTAGTCTAGCCACTTTTGCCATCTCTTTGCGAGGCTCTGTAACCTTAAATTTTTCCATTGTTCGAAGGCTTCGACTGCACCGTATACAGCTCAGAGCAGCTCTCTTGGTCTAAGTTAGAAATTCAAAGAGCATGCAAGTAAAGTCGACTAACCCATTATCGTGAGCTGGGACTCGATTCACCTAGTCGGCTGTTGGGCGTAAATCTATCTCATTGCTTAAGAACCAAGGCAGAAAGCGACCGAACCCCGGGTATGTCCTATTAAACTTAAGACATGTATCGAGCTTCTTCTCCAAGATATCGACCGCAACAGTAGCTGCGTGGTCTGGCTGTTCGGGTGACAGGAAGCGGGCCGCGTGGCGGTTGCCCGCGATAGCATGCGTTAGTACCATGACATGGAGAGACTCTTTTCTAGCTGCGTTGAAGGGATGTAGCCCGCCAATGTTGTTGAGACCCGTTCGAGGGTCCAGGAGGGTGCCATCATATGTCATTTCATTGGCTGTATTATATCCAACGTTGTCTTGGTGGAAGTGACCTTCTCAGTACAAAAGATCCCATATGAAAGTATCACCGTTGGTGAGAATGTCTTGTTGAGAGTGTTGGGGAGAGAATCGACATTTTGGGGCGGTCTGAAAGGTTGAGCTTGCAGCTGATGCAAACAGGATGGAGTATAGTAGGACCAAAGTCAAATGCATGTTAAGCTGGTACAATCACAGAAAATACAAGAGAGGATATTAGTAAAACGAACAACCTGGCATCTTGTGAAGTCATGAGCACCCAAAATATCCATCAGGAATTATGAAATTCCAGAAGCCAGGCACCGCTGGCCCGTCATGACGCATCTACCCCGCAGTCCACGATCAGGAACACTTCATGAGCTTCTCACATGAGCATCTCATGCCGAAAGTTCTTGAGGTTGTTTCCGGCGTTGTCTATTGTTTCCCGGTTTTTGATCGGAGCTAAATTGGAGATATGTGCCAACTATAATAAGGGTTCCGGGATCGAGGCAGGCTGTCTCGGAAAGCCTGCTTGGCAAAGACCTTGCTGAGGGGTGCTGAATGATTCGTTTAGAATTGGTTAATCAAGGATTGAAGGAAGTAGCACATTGTCTTGTTTTCACAAAAATTTGTTGAGCTGAGAGGAGAGGTAGGGTTTTTAAGACGCGAGGACGGCTAAAGAAAAATGGGTGAATGCCAAGCGAACCGTGTCGGCCAATCGTCTTGAAGTCTTCCTACCACCTCCATCACCAACTCCCCCTTACCCCACCATGCCTGAACGTGAATCCGCCAACAACACCAGACACCGAAAGCCACGATCACAATCCCGCTCTCCATATCGTGCACCCCGCACCGAGAAGCACCATCACCATTCCCGCCATCCCCGATCCCGCTCGCCCCATCGTGAACGACATGACCGCCATAAGAGACGACGCTCGCGTTCTCCTCCACCCCGCCCCATAGCCCTTCCTTTCAAAGCGCAGATGCTGTCAAAACACGACTACAATGAGTACAAGCCGTTATTTGCATCATATCTTGAAATTCAAAAGCAGCTTTATCTCGAGGATTTAGACGAGAAGGAGCTAAAGGGAAGGTGGAAGAGCTTTGTAGGACGATGGTATGCTAACTCCCCTCTGCCTCTCCATCCTGCTCCATACACGAATTTGTAAGCATCCGTAAGCTAACATTGGCGAGGAATCGTGGAGATCTCGCAGAGGGATGGTACGATGCTGCAACGCTCCAGAAAGCCAAACGAACCGCATCGTCTGCGCCTCAACCACAGTCTCTAGAGCGATATCCCCGCGACTCGCCGGATGGAGGACATGATGATCAAGAGAGCGACGACGAAGAGTTTGGTCCGGCGCTGCCCCGCGATGTAGCGCTTCGGCGGACTGGCCCGACAATCCCTAGGCTTGATGACCTGCGATATCGAGACGAGCTTGGTGAAGAAGACCGTGATCGAGACCGCGAAAACTACATGGACGATATCCATTACGCTCGCAAAGCCGACCGGAAAGCGCAAAAAGACCGCCTTGAAGAGCTTATCCCACGCGCCGACCCTGGCTCTCGTGAGCGCCAGCTTGAGAAGAAGCGTGAGACAACCAACACATTGAAGGGCTTCCGCGATGCGAAGGAAGCCGGGGATGTCGAGGTTGGAGATGCCGATCTCATGGGCGATGACGGGATCGATGCGTATAAGAAGCGCAAGAAAGAGATGGAGCGGAAGAAGACTGAGAGGGAGATCCGGAGGGAGGAGATTATGAGGGCAAGGGATGCGGAGAGGGAAGAGAGGTTGGCTGGACGGAGGGCGAAGGAAGAGAAGACGATGGAGTATTTAAGGCAGATTGCTCGGGATCGGTTTGGGTGAATGGGAGTGATTGTGCTGTACGTTTGCAAGTTAGCACGTACTATGAGATAGGAAGGGCTCTGATATTGGAGAGATATGTGCCAGCCTCTTGACGCTCTCCCGAATTCCGGCGGCTGGCCTGACAGATCGAATCCTTGTTCATGTTCAATGACCATCACCGACACACACTAGCCTCATAGCAAGGAGTTTATTACAAATAGTCACAACCTAGATAGCGCTCGCAGAGGAGAAAAGCCAATGCCATCCTCCCCTTAAGACGGACTATGAAATACATGCTGAAATCTCATTTGACGCCTTAACATGCAACCCACCCTGAACGCCATGAACCGCAGACAAACGGCTTCATGAAGAGGAACCTTGAAATCAGGGTCCTCAAAAGTCAGGATCCTCGCTGCCTCGTTCTGATCAGCTCTCCTGGGGTATCAAGCACCCGCTGCGAGTTGTGGATTTACGCGTATCGCGAAAGAGAGTGTGTCACCCCTGGGCGCAGGTGAGAATATTGAAGTCCCCTACTCGTCGTCTAGAATAGAGCTAGCTAGAGGACCGAAGAAGGGGACTTCGTACCTGTCAAGGGTTTCGGCTACACTGTGGGTTAGCTTGAGTTCGTTCCTCAAAATAATTTCCCGATCAGGACGCCTACCATCTTTATACGCATGCCAAGTCAGAAACCCAATCAGGCCAAGGTCGCCGATGAACAGAAGCCAAGATATTATGCTTGACCAGGAGAAGATGATATGGACAACCTAAGCTCATTAGCACATACATATCCTTGCCCATATATCAGCTCCTAACTTACGAAGACGAAGGCGAACAACAGGCTGGATTGCCATGCATGGAACCGCACATAGTCACTCCGATGCTCTAACACCAGCAACAAGACTCCTCCCGCAGGAGGCAACAATAGGTATGCCAGACAAGCCTCGTAGTCCATCCTCAATCCCAACCTGGTCTCAAACATATCCACATCTTCTCTTCCTCCGCCAAACCCGCCAGGCACTGCATTCCAAGCTACCCGCTCTGGCTCCTGCTGATTCCCAAAATATTCACGCTGGGGGAAGGTCTGGCTATGGGGCGAGGTCACTGCCGCGGTACCTATATTTCGGGTGCGGTCGAGGGAAGCGCGTGGTGAGGGTCGCGGAGAGTTGCTGGGTAGAGGTGGAGAGAGTGCGCGTTGGGTTTCGGGGACGTCTTGGTAGGGCGCGAAGTCTGCCATTTCTAGGGTGGGCCGGAGATGCGGTTCGGGAAGAAACGTGGAGGTTTGGGGATAACGAGACCGTTAGACGGGTTGATGCAACATGTAGGGCTGAGGATGTGGCATGGATTGGCTGGGAGTGAGGGTGACGCGTTAGGCCCAGTCCAGGAGGAATGCGGCTCGGCTCCTAGGTCAGCACAAATCGCACGTGACTGGATAGACACAAAGAAAAGCAATCCTACTGCACGAACACTCATGCAGTGCAACAGCGTCGGATAAGGGGTCGATGTTGTACATAAATGTGAAGCAACTCCCCTCGATACTTTGCTTTAAGAAATATGTTCCAAACAAACATTTTGCAGTCGTGTGAGCAAAATTGCTAGTCCAAAATCTCGGACCAGCATTTCCCGTCAGACATCCATCACGCATGCACACTTCGCCATCTAGCATCCTTCACTCACCCCATGGAGCCGTGACACCGTACAGGTCAGATGTCTGGGCCTGCTTGCTGGATCCACGTATATAAGTAGGCGCTTTGGGCTCATCACACCGCTCTGCACTTCTCCGCCACTTTTAAAACTAGACGCCCGTACTTTCCCGAACTTTGGAATCGATTTCACTCGACCAAAACATTTCCTTCCAGCTTCCTTCTCTCGTCTTCTTCTAAACCAGTTTTACATTTCTCCTTGCTTGTGAACGACTGCAGCCAGTAGAGTACAGGCGTTCCTGTAGGTTTCCAGAATGTGTATCGCCATTGTTACCACTGAGCATCCTCAGTACCCGTTCATCCTCCTGAACAACAGAGATGTAAATTTCCTTGCATCTTCTCTCACCTCACTTCGGCAAACCACTGACTCAGGGCGCCAGGAATACTTGCATCGTCCAACAGCAGATGCAACATGGTGGCCAGAACCCGACTCCCAAGTCCTCGGAGGCTACGATCTGCATCGTCCCGTCCACGGTACTTGGCTTGGCGTGACTCGTCAGGGTCGAGTCGCAGTCCTCACCAATTACCGCGAAGAGGGCGAAGCAATTGTTGAAGGGGCCCGAAGTCGGGGTCTTATTCCGAATGCCTGGCTGAAATCTGACCCGAAAGTGGACGAGTCGTCGGAGCAGTTTGCGAAGAGGCTTGTAGAGGAAGATGGGGTAAGAGGAGTTGGGGGCTTCAGCCTGCTGTATGGAAAGATCCAGGATGTTGTCAAAGGGGGAAGGAAAGGCCTTGCAATCATCTCTAACCGCACTCCGGATGCTGCTGGCTTGATATGGGTGGCCGGGAAATCCCACGAGACCTACGCTCTCAGCAATGCCGCCTATGGTGACCGATCCTGGCCGAAGGTCGTAAACGGAGAAAAGGAGGTCAAAGCCGCTATCGATGCGAGCGTGGAGAAAAGGGAAAGCAAGGAGAAATTACTTGAGAGGTTGTTTGCCGTTCTTTGCCATGACACAATGCCCAGGCAGAAGGAAAATGAAGAGTGGGACATGTATCTGAACCAACTACGCCACAGTATTTTCGTTCCTGCCGTTGGAAAGGATGATCTGGAAGAAATGAATATGCCGGCACATCCTGTAGGTGATGTGGTCAAGCACAGAGCCGCCAATGCCACGTCCGGATGCTATGGAACGCAGAAGAATATAATCATCCTCGTCGATAACGGTGGGAAGATGCTCTATATTGAACGATCACTTTTCGATGGAGATGCGCATCCAATTGAGAAAGGGAAAGGAGACAAATCGTTTGAATTCCAAATCGAAGGGTGGTAGCAGGAAAGCATCGAAGAAGGCATATCGGTTTCAACCAGGGGATGAAGACGGCGATTCAGCATGTTTTTTGTGTTGAAGATCTCCGCACTACCAGCTTTTCCTTAGAGTTCAATTCGGCGAAAACGAAACCCCTCCTACATACAGGTCAGAAATTTGATTCCTATTAACCCTTATTCTAGATAGAGATTAAACAGACTAACTCAATACTTGTCATGTTCCATGTTAACCTACTGTTGTCTTTTTCCTTTCTTCTTTTCTCGACTCATAGCGGCTGCACGCCAGGCTGTTTAGCCAGCCCGAACGCAGGCTATCAGGAGATAAAGCGTTTGGAAACCATCGGCGAAAGGATAGTCCGATTCAAGACATTCACAGTACCTCTCGTTGCCAAGGCGCCGTGCACGTGCCGTATCAAACGGTGATGCCGCACACCACAACCACGACGACCCCTCTGTTGACAAAACAGAACGACTTTATATGAATTTTAATTCGCTTCCCTACTTCACCTCCGCCCTGCTGGGAGGGCCAACAACAACACAAGCACGAATCTCCCTATCACCCACACCGGGGGCTCATCTAACAACAGCCCTCATTCCTAATGCGCCATCTTTAGGAGCTCACCATGTGTATGAGAGTGGTTCGAGTCTTTCGCGGCTGTTCTATTCCAAGCCACGCCGAGCTCTTAGGATTTGATTTCTGCAGCATGGACCATTCCTTCCCCGAGCACAGACTGGAGTATTACCATGCCGAGGACTCTGGCTTCCCATGCCCGGCTTGTGAAAAGGTTCTAGGGAACGAGGCCAACCCTAACGGTGTCCACTGGTATGCTCCAGTTGACCTTGTCATCAAGCCTTTCCCCACCACCGGCAAGCCGCAATATTTCTATCTTGTCGAGACACCAGAGGGCTGGAAAGGCGAGGATCTGACACCGAAACCCGACATGCTTGCTAAAATGACATGCAAGCCAAAGAAACCTAAACCGAAGCAGACAGGTCGTAGCTCATCGCCTGAGCGCAGTCCGTTGTCGTTGTCGGCCTTGCATTCATTCTTCTACTGCCCATTGGACGCAGCTGGGGAGACACCGCTCTCGGAGAGTAACGGCCAGCGCACTCACAGGAGTATGTCAATCTTGTCGCAGAATTGCAGCCTCGACACTACTAGTACCAGTGCCCGAAGACAGCCTGCTTCGTCTCAGGGCAAGACCAGCGAGAGTGTAGGACTGGCCGAGGCACGGAGCGAGAGCAGCGGCACCAGCAAGGATGCCTATGGGACAGGCTGGAAATCTAAGATCGATTCCGACGGAGGTAGTTCCGAGACTCCAAAGGCGAGCGCATTCCGGCCAGTGTTTCCCTGCGTCACTCCTGATGTGGAAGCACATCGTCAAGTTATTGGAGAGCAACTCAAGCACCTTCCGAACACTGCACAATGTCAACCAGCCCGTGCTAATACATGCCAAGAGCACCGAGCTCCGTGGTTCAAACCGAGTAATGCTATGGAATCTCGACCACTTAGCTCAATGGGGCTGCAAGCAGCTAGGAGTAGCCCATGGGCTGGTGGCATCTTCTATACACAAGCTTCCTCTCTGGATGTCTCTGCACATGCACAGCCCAACGCTCTGCATCAGGCCCAGCATGTGACATTTGATAATTGTAAACAGATCGTTGAAACCAATTTGTATTACCCAGTCCCCATTTTAGGCTCAAGCTAAAAGTCTTGGTTTTTAGGGGGCGGTCCGATGAACAGTCACTATCACAATACGGAGATGCATCCCGGTTTCCGGACTGTTAGTATTTCAAGGTCCCTACATATCAACTGCGCTGACACTTGCTTCCAGATGAATGGTAGGGTAGGTCAGCCAGGGGCGCAGTACAGCAGGCAAATGGTAGATGGATATTACAATGTAGGAAATACCTACACAGCTCCACACTGACTGAAATCTCCAGATTTCCTCCACGGGCACACAACACCAGTTCCCTTCTCGCATACCAATGCCAGCGGGCCACAATGTTAGTGCTCAACCCACACGAACGGCCATTTGCTCATACTTCCAGGGACGTTTCCCGGCTTCGCAGTCATTCCAAGATTCATCCCCAATGCAGGATTGCAAAGCTGCGTATCAAGCACCGGAGTACACCTTCCCACCTCGTTCCGTCCAAGCAATTACCTACAAAAATACGGTCCTACAGCCTAACAATAACATCACTCAGCCATCGCACCAGGCCAACGGCTACGGTTACTTCGCCCCACCCAGCAACTACGGCCCAATCCGCCCCCCTCCACCGCCAGAGGTCACCCCGTTCCCGCGCACCCGTCCGCAGACCCCAACCCGCCAGAATCAGATCAAGAGGAATAGTGCTTCGAGCGTATTCCGCTCTAAGGTCCTTCCGAACATGATGCAGGAGCATGAGGGTGGGTATGTGGCTGTTGGCTCGGGAGGTCCTCCTGGTCCGGCTATGAGATTCAGCCTCGCTGATGTTCCGTTCAAAGTGAATACCAGGGCTAAGCGATATGCTAGAGTGGATGATGAGAAGAAGAATTAGAAGACTGGAGAGTATAAGAGCGGTGGATGGGCCAATAGTGGCTTTGATGAGATGAGTATTTTCGGTAGCTGCTGCAATATGCTTATTGTCGCGGGACCTGCTGCAGGACTGGCTTGATTTAATGGATTTGGGGGCGTTGTATTCATGGTGATTTTGTATAGTAATCGATATGGGACACGGAATTCATGGGACTCGGAATTCATAGGACATAGTCTCTCGAGGAGTCTTTTATAACCACAATTGTCGACTGTATGCTGGCGTCTGTGGTCAATGATTTAAAGAGAGTCCTTGAAATCCATTCCCGTGATTAAAGTTACGCATGATACGACGCAATATATTCCCAAATACTGCAAAGCTCCTCCGCATCAAATCGGCGTCAAATTCTTGGCGACGGAGAAACGAAGTGACGTCTTCTACGCTTGTTCGCTGCCTCGGCGTTTCCATTAACAAACCTCCGTTCACTGAATGCTTAGTCCCCGTACCAACACCTCCGCTTGCCTCCAACGTCCTACAACCTCCATCATGAAATTTCGTCTGTCTATCTAAGTCTAGAACTTCCTCTGTCGACATACTCGAGTCCTGATTCCGAAATTGTAATCTCTCCCTCCCTCCCCCCATGACCTCCGTCCCTCCCCTGCCCGCCTCGCAGCGCAGGTCTCCTCCCCGCGAAGCTGCCGAGCCGGCGTCCCAGCATGAGCAATCGCAGCTGGGTCGCACCGACAGCGAAGCCTATTCCGCGACGTCTGAAGACTCGCAGACACTGCTCCTGAATAGCCCGCACCCGCCACAAGCGCAGAGACCCGTTGAACAGTCACAGTCACAGTCGCATTCACAGCCGCATTCACAGTCGCAGAAAGAATTAACGGCGGCTCCGCAGCCGGACGACGAGCCTCGCAAATGCTGGATATGTTTCAATGACGAAACCGAAGACGAACCCACCTCCTCAGAATGGCGCAGCCCCTGTCCCTGTGTCCTCGTTGCGCACGAAAAGTGCCTGCTCGACTGGATCGCCGATATGGAGGCCCCGAGCTCCCGGCGGCGGGCTGGTGGTGGGAGAGGCAAGATACTGTGTCCGCAGTGCAAGGCTGAGATCAAGGTTGTGCGGCCACGGAGCATAGTCGTGGATCTTGTGCGGACGGTGGAGAGGTTCACGGGGATGATGCTATTGCCCGGGTTCTTTATCGTAGTGGGGTCAGCGGTCTACAGCACGGCTACCCTGTTGGGCACACATGCTGTCTATGAAGTCTTTGGCATAGAAGATGGAGCGCAGATTCTAATGCCTATTTACGAATCCCCAACGATGCATCAGTCGATCGTGGCACGGGCGATGGACCACCTACGGTTGAATTGGAGACTGGACCTGGGGCTTCCACTGATTCCAACTGTTTTGATAGCCTCGCGGACCACACTGGCTGATAGCTTTCTCCCATTCTTGCCGCTGATATTCTTCGCGAGCTCGGGCAGACCCCAGGACGAGATGATGCCGTTCCAATGGCCGCCGAGCGCTGCCTTCACCATTGCCGCACTGCCTTACATCCGAGGTGTCTACAATGCATACTACGAACGTGTCTGGCTACCAAAAGAACAACGATGGCTCAAGGAAATTCAACCACGTGCTGGTGACACAGATGGAAACAACGGCGCTGACAACGACAACGCGGGAGACCAAATCGAAGAAGTGCTCGAGGACGGCGACGACGACGCCGTCATCGAAGCTGTAGAACTCGAAGTTGACTTCGACCTCTTCGGTGACTGGAACAACGGCGGTGCGGCCGACAACAATGCTGCCGAGGAAAACCCCCCAGTACCCATCGCCCGCGGCCCTGCACCACCCCTCCACGCCCCTCCCCAAGACGTAGACGTACAGGATGCTGCCCCCGCACCAAATGTCCCCGGCAGAAGAAACCGCATCCGCCGCGAACGCAACATGCAATTTAGCACGACCTCCCTGGCAGACACCATCCTCGGGGCTCTCATCTTCCCCTCTATTGCGGCTGCAGTCGGTGAGGTGTTGAAACACGCACTGCCAAAGTCATGGGTTACAAAGCCCGCAGACGGTAAAGTGACGGGATTTCTGCAGGCGAGGTGGGGACGGAGCATCTTGGGGGGCTGTCTATTTGTGGGGGTTAAGGATGTAGTGATGCTATATGTGCGGTGGAAGATGGCGCAGAATCATCGGAAGCGGAGAGTAGAGGATTATGATCGAAGTAAGAAGAAAATTGTGAGGCCATAGGGTTGGAATGGGGAAGGAATGGTGCTGCTGGGTCTGGTATTATGATACATCACCTATGGTGGCCGCTTTGGCCTTTAGTTGTGGATTTTAGGGATAGAGGTTCTGCACTCGTGAAGAGGACTACCTACAAAGAGGAATGACACAATAGCTACATGCCTAGGATTTGGGGTTTTGGGTTCATAGATGATAAGGGATACAATCCCTATCCTCACTAAGAACATCCTCTATAAGGAGGTGCAGTTCCCCTTCATCATTTCCTCATTTCCTCCATATAAGCACAAAAGACTTGGAAGTAATGCCTCTTTCGACTAACTCAGCGGCAGCACTTTCAATCTAAGCCAAAAACATTTCACAATCCAATTTCTTCTTGTCATACCGTAACGTGTTTGTTCGCACACCCATGATGCATGCCAAGCCGTTTCACTTCGCCTCGCCAAAAAAATTTCCCCAAAAAAAGAATTTGGCGGTACTGGGAATCGAACTGGACAATTGTCAGTCAGTACTCTTGTTTTGTAGCTCTTAATCCACTCGTTTGAGTGGGCCAGGTTGGAATGGAGATTAACTCACCCCAGGCTGGCGCGGCCACAACGCGACGTCATACCACTAGACCATACCACCGTATGTCTTGATTGATGTTCATTTTTCCCAGTTGTTTGATTATATACTACAAAATATTTTGCAAAAAACCATGCACAGAATGGCAACCCCTCTCGGTCTCTTAACCTACCTTTGGCTCGAGTTTTACCTGCGAAAATGTGGGGCAAAGCGACGTTTAGTAGGTTTTAGCGCCCGTTCTTTTGACATTCTACCCACGCTCCCTGAAGAAGGGCAACAAAACATCTGAGTAAGCGTCGGTATTGCACGGGCTAGCAACGGGGATGCCGGCGCTAGGAATCTAGTAACTAACTTCTAATTGGCTCACCATGATTTCAGGACATGTCTGTTTTTCTGTAAGCGAAATTACATGTCTCGGAGCTTTTGGCATATCGTTTGCGAGACGGCAGTGCTAGGAGCGCCTGCTTGATCATGCATTTTCCGTACTGTCTGAGCCACAAAAGCGGTGTCGCCATGCACCCGCTTCGATCAAGCAAGTTTTGATTTCCTAGTTTAGACAATCTTGGCACCTTGACGGCATCGGGATAATACTTTTCTAGTCTGTTCTTTTCAGGTAATGTTTTTTTAACTTCTGTTTTTTTATTTTCTATTGCGCTAACTTTTTTGCTGCAGTTTAATCTCTAAAACAGTTTTACAAAACTATTTTTTAAGATTATTCCTATTTTTAAACACGGTCCTCCTCTCACTAGGCTTGCTCATAGTTGCAGACACAGTGACGCTGGCCCCAGCACTACCGCTGGCTGTTGCGATCCTACACTCTTTTCATTAATGCACCTGGCTGTGGCTATGTGGTCAAGGAAGAGGTTTTGCTATTTTGTTTCGTTTGTAATTTACTCTCGCTATAACGCAAACTCTGCGTATCGTCCGCCCCCCTGACTTCCCTTGCACCTATTGGTGATCCTGACGCTAAGAGCAGTCTGTAATCTCTTTTCGTGAATCACGCGTCTTTTGTATCAAGAGTAATGCTTTAGCCCTTTCTTCTCTAGATAATACGTAACCTATATAATCTTTTATGCATGCTAGCCAAGTACAGCGCTCCTGTAAAGCCACCAACTGTGCTAAGAAAAATACCCTTGTTAGAGGACAAGGCAAGTCAGACAATTTTCATCTTCTACTATTACTAGGAAGATTGCATAGTTATAGACTAATACTTATTTTCATCTTCTGTTTTACTAACAAGCAATAATTATTTCTTGTAGTTTGCCCTGCAATATTTTGTATGCTTAATACATTATAAACAGCTGTTGCGTGCTTCACCTTGCAACGTATTAAAGCTTAACTTCTTAGTAATTCTTTAGGCTAAATCTAAGAGCTAGCATCTAACAACTGCTTATCAGCCGCCTAATTAGAACGTGTGCAGTGTTATGTGCATGCCTCAGCCCTATGATGTTGCGACGACCTCCTGTTAAAGTGAGTATAATTGTAACAATCCTCATGAATCGTTCCATCTCAGATGGCCCGGAAGGCCCCCGTATCGGCCCCGACCCCGACCTGGCCCCGACCCCTGCTGTTACCTCTATTCCCTCATGTATTTAGTCGCACCTCTCCCCTGTAGCTAGCTTAGTAGTTTTCTAATATCCTTTGTACAAGGCCTATAGGTGTTAATAAGATTCCTAGGTTATTAAGTCCCCACGCACTTCTATATGCCTCTAAGTAGATTTCTACTGCATTTAGACTTATTGTCTTGCCTATACTGTTACATTATATTAAAAAACTTACTTTTGCTAATAACAGCCTTATTATAATATTACACTAATTATTTGTTTAACTATATCTAAGCTTAAGACATGTTTAATTTAGTTTAGGTTATAATACTTACACACTGTTCTGTTAAACTATTTAGTTTATAGATAGAATACTAGAGACCTTTTATTAACTAAAGCCTTTAAGTTTAAAACTTCTTATCCCCTATAATTAGAATTGCCTTTAGAAAAGTTGTGTAGAGTGTGCTAAGGTAGAAACTTAGAGACTACTAATAACTTATTAAGATTAGAGACAACTGCTAATGCCTAACTTTTAACTACTAACTACTACTCTGTTAACAGCTAAACCTGCTTCTATAGAACCTAAAGCTAGACCTACCTAATTTAGAGTTAATCCCTAGCAGCTAATCTAGCTAAGACTGCTAGTTAACCCCTGCTAACTACTAAATTACCTCTAATAATGCCTTAAATCACCCTTGCTACCCTAATAGCAAGAGACCTTTTAGGCACCCCTAATAATACCTAAATGTCACCTTACTAAAACCTACGCCTAAGATTAATAACTGCACAGATAGTAAAAAACAATTAGCTAGACATCTACATAGATTAATATTAGAGCGGGCGCGCACGCATAGCGTTTAGTTTAGAGGACACTGCTAGTAGTGTGAAGGAATACTTAGTAAGGACACCTAGCTAAATTAGACTAGTTTTTAGTTTTTAAGAAGGCAGAGGACATAACAGTAATACTTCTACCTACTAATAAAGACTATGAGTCTACAGAGGGGGGGTAGTGTAACAATCCTTATAAATTGTTCTATTTTAGATAACCTAGAAGGCCCCTGTATTAGCCCTAACCCTTGCTGTTACCCCTATTCCCTTATGTATTTAGTCGCACCTCTCTCCTGTAGCTAGCTTAGTAGTTTTCTAATATCCTTTGTACAAGGCCTATAGGTGTTAATGAGATTCCTAGGTCATTAAGTCCCCACGCACTCCCATATGCCTCTGAGTGGATTCCTACCGCATTCGGACCCATTGTCTTGCCTGTGCCGTTACAATAATGCGCACCACCGTACTACGCGCAAATGCCACTCTGCCTAAGGTATTTAAAAGGCTTAATTAAGAAATGTTAAAATATAACACTACTTTATACCTTTCTTATTAATTAACTACTAAATTACATTACAGCCTATATAAAAGTTAGCGTGTAATGATTAAGGTCTGTTACCACGTTGTAACTTGTATGCGCCCTCCTATTAAAACCTAAGGTAGACTTATGCGCCTAGAAGCCTTTGTACATAAACATGCCTACTTCTAGTTGCTCTATCTGATTAGTTCTAACCACTAAAGAAACGCTGTTGTTACAACGCTTTTATGCAGCGTTCTATAGAGGCAGCGCTGCCTCGTGTAATGAGGTAGGCGCCCCGCCTGCCAAGCCGATACTATACGACTTTCCCCACTGTACCAAATGGTACGCACGAGAATACTTAAGCTAAGTATTCTCGCATAGTATAATATATATATAGGTAATGCTAGGGTAAGCACTAGCACTAGCGGTTGTCTCTAGCCTAGCCTAAACCTCTATGAGCGAGAGAAGGCCACGTGGTTGACCGTGCCGACCTCGTTACACCTCGAAAATTGCCACCTCTAGCGTGTACTCATAGCGCCCCCTTTCTTTCTGCAGCATTTATACGTGATTAGAGAAGGTGGTTTATTTGGCAATAAAGGGTTAAAAGAGAGCATTCCTAACACTTAATGATGGCTGCGGGTACCATTCTCGTGCCGCAGCACTTATGTATAATTAGTGAAGGTAGACTAATTAGCGACAAAGGATTAAAAAGAGGTATTCCTAGCATTTAATACTAGCTGCAGGAACCATCCTCGCGCCGCAGCATTCATGCATGATTAGTGAAGGTAGATTAATTGGCAACAAAGGGTTAAAGGAGGGTATTCCTAACAATTAATGCTAGCTGCGGGAAGTATCCTCGTGCCGCAACATTTATGCATGATTAGTGAAGACAGATTAATTGACAACAAAGGGCCTAAAGAGAGTATTCCTAGTGTTTAGCGTTAATTGTTAGTGCGACGCTTTAGAAGAGCAAAGACGTATATAACCTTTGTTTAAGTCGCTTCTTACTATTATCACCACTATAGCTACTTCCTTTGCAAACCTTACCTCTAGCATAGTAAAGTTTTAAGTATAAGTATAACTAGTTAGTAAATATCTAGCTTATTATAAAGCATAACTTACTAAAGTTATACATGTTATTATTTTAAATGCTATACTTAGCATTAATGTTCTGTATAAGGCTAAATTAGTTTTAGATACCTAAATTTTTTTATAAAAGGCTTTTTTATAGTTATAGTTATACTTAAACTTTACTTTAAGCTTTAGATAACACTTAATACACATACTAGGCTAGTTTATACTAACATAGCCTAGATTATGCTTAGTATGTAAAGAATTAGCTATATTAGCTATAGCTGCTAGCTGTAATAGCACAGGCAAGACAATGGGTCTGAATGCGGTATGAATCCACTCAGAGGCATATAGAAGTGCGTGGGGACTCAGCAACCTGGGAATGTTATTAACACCTATAGGCCTTGTACAAAAGAATATTAGAAAACTACTAGGCTAGCTAAGAGAAGAGGTGCGACTAAATACTTAGGGGAATAGAGGTAACAGCAGGGGGCAGGGCAAGGTTAGAGCTAATACAAGAACCTTTTAGAGGTTCTAAGCAACCTAAGATAGAATAATTTATAAGAATTATTACACTACCCCCTCTTTATAGACTAATAGTCTCTATTAGTAGTAATTAGAGTAGAAAGTATTACTGTTATGTTCTCTGCCTTCTTAAATTAAAACTAGTCTAATTTAGCTAGGTGTTCTTACTTTAAGTA